TTAGATCTTTACATTTACTGGGTTGAATTTTTATTTTTTAACAGTATCATGTGTCATATACTTAATATAAAGTATCTTAAACATAAACATAATATAAAGTATACTTAAAGTGTCTTAAACTTCCTTTTCATTATTTTTGCTGGTTTGTTCAGGGACAACCAGCTGGTTCTTTTTTTTAATGTTTATTTATTTATTTTTGAGAAAGAGAGACAGAGAGGCCAGGGGAGGGGCAGAGAGAGAGGGAGACACAGAAACCTAAGCAGGCTTTGAGATGTCAGCACAGAGCCCCAGGCAGGGCTCAAACACACAGACTGTGAGATCATGACCTGAACCAAAGTTGGACGTTCAACCCACTGAACCACCCAAGCACCCCTCCGTTTCTTCTCTTAATTTTGAAGTTCTACTTTACCGTGAGTTTACTTTTCCATTTACTCACTTTCATAAACAAACACATATTTCTCTACCACTATTTGAAAACAAGATACCAAATATTCCCCCCATGAAAAATTACTCTCCTGGCCTCCTGCTCCAACTGTCCCCATATTACCACCCTTTGCCCTAGTGAAATGACTTCAGGGGCTTCTACTTTCCCCTCTCCCCAGCAACCTCCCAACCCTTAAGCTGTTGAGGCTGTTGTGTATTTTAGTTTACACCATTAATTGAATTTCTTTCACTATATGACTCTTCTAGCATTTATATTACACTTCCCTAAAAGCCTGCCCTATGCTCTTAGATTTCCTCTCCTCTTTACCCTTCTTATCTGAGCTACTTTACTGTTTGATCCTTTTCCTCAGATAGGGTGGTCTTTATCCAGGCAGGAAGAGGGTATTTTGCTCCACTTACATGGTCGCCATTGCCCTTCTTCCCTCTCAGAAACCTGAAGCTGTGAGTCTCCTGTCTTCTCTGTGGCAGCCAGAAGTTTGATGCCAGGAAGCAGGTGCTCACCAGAAACAGAATTTTCAGGTGCCTTGATCTAGAGATGGGAGCTGGGAGAGGGGGGGAAAGGACCTCGTAGTCAAAACAGTTGAGAATAGAGGATCTGGAATATAGATGTTTAATGACCAAGCCAGGAGTCCTGAAAGTGCCCCATTGTCAGTCTGCTTGACTGTGTTCTACCTTTGGGTTTTAAAGAGCTCACCACAGAAGGCAGTGCCCTAGGGACACTGAAGCCATGGCCAGTACTTTTCCATTTACATCTGTGACCAGGATTTGTTGCATTTTTTTTCCCCCAGAAATAGGTTTGTTTGGATTGTTGGGGAGGGTGGTGTCACTGAGAATATTAATTCTTCCATTGGGTAACAGGGATTTTTTGATGTAACTCTTAAGTGTATTTTTATAACAAACCTCAAGCACATGAGTCAGTATATGTCAGGTTTCTTTCGCTTACCAGAATAATCCATTTAAACGTGAAGACATTTAGCCTTCCCTTTTCATTAAAGGAAAACAAGAAGGAAAAAAACTGTGGTGGCTTTTTTCCCTTTGTCTTGAATAAGATCTGAGGCTCAGAAAACCTTGGCAAAGACTTCATGCTACCTTCATACTGTGGGCAACCTTTTGTTCACTCTGCAGTGAGTCATTTTTCTGATGAGCTCCCCAGAGCCCTTGGGCTTTCTGAGAGAACCAGAGGACATCAGGCCTCACCCCCAGCCCTCTGGGCTAAGCAGTAACCTTTTTGTTTAATTTGTTTACGCTTTATAAGATTTCATTCAAACAAAAGTTTCCCTGGCTGAAACAAGTTTGAAAAATACCTCTCTGAAGCCATTCAAGGTCAGATTTCAGTTTCCCAGCAATTAATGTATTTGGTTCTATAATCCAAATTACTTTTATATCTTCTGAATCTAATACCATAATCATACTTTAGTACTCTAAAACTGTTCCTCTATGTTAAACACTTGTATTTTATGTTGATTCTGAAGGATTTATTCCTCTAAGTATTTTGAAACCCCATGATCCTTGCTTTTCATTGATAGAGTCCGTGCTCCTGTAAATGGGAATTGCGAATTCTCGGTGTTCACTAATTTCCCTCTTTTAGGGGCAGAGTGAGGTGGTGAATGGACTGTGGATCCTGAAAAACAATCCCTTCCCTTAAACGGAAAGGCCTCAGTCTCTACTTTTTCTCTCCCCAGGCTGCCTCTCCTCCGTTCCCAGCTCTCACAGAATCAGCTCCTCCTCATCTGTCAGGACTAGATGTCCCCTCCTCAGGCCTTCCTTTATCCTCCTCCCCAAATCAAAGCTAATTCCCATGTTTCTTGCTTCTCACAATGATAAATATTTAGTGATATGTCAGTACCTACTGGGTGAGTGAATGAATGGATTACTAATGCCTCCCTCCTTCACTAAAAAGTGTCTTAGGACATCAATCAAGCATACATTAGCTCCTGCAATAAACAAGTTGTCATTCATGCTGAGCACTGTGGGGGATACAACCAGCTATTCTAAGAGCTTACTACCTAATTGGGAAAGTGAGATATAAACATTGAATAGACAACCAACTATTAGTGGCAGTTAAGAGATTAGTTTCCTGGTTCCTGGTGTATTAAGTGAAAGGCAAATAAGCAGTTGGTTGGATCTGAGTTGCTTTTGGAATTAACAGAAAGAAGAGAAAGGATTTCAAATCTATTTTTTGATGGTAGATAAAGATGGATAGAGGGAGGGCAATCTCAACAGGATAGGAATAGGGTTGCTATGATTGCAGACATGGAAGAGCCTTCTTCAGCCACTTAACAAATACTTACTGGGCATTTACTCTATGGCAATTTACTCATTCTAGGCCTGAGGATACAGTGGTGCATTGAAAGTAATGTTTGTAACCTCATGAAGATGAAGTTCTAGTGGGGAAAGCAAATAGAAAGGTGAACAAGTATCCATATCGGGTAGTAACAAGTGCAATGGAGAGAATGAATCAGCAGGGTAGAAAAGAGAGTGCCAGAGGTGCTCCTGCAGACTGAGTGATCAGGGAAGAGCTCAAACCCAAATAACAAGAAGGCATCAGCTATGCCAATGTCTAAGAGAAGAGAGGTTGAGGCTGAATGAATAACATGCTCCAAGGTCTTAGGACAGGAAAGACTTCCACACACTCAAGAAGCAGGGAAAGGCCAATGCACCAGGGATTACAAACAAGGGAGAAAGGGGATGAAGATGCACTTGGGGAGGTGAGCAGGTCCGGTCCTGTCCCATGGGGCCTCCGTGGAAAGCATATGGGGTTTTGCTAAGTGCTGTGGGAGGCCATAACCACCTTTGGAAGGTTTTGAGTAGAGCAATGCCACGTTTAAGCAGAAGAAGGATGATGAGAGGAGTAGTTTGGCTGGAGCATGAGACTTTTTTGAAGAGTAAAAGAGTCTCAGTTCAGAAACAAAGACAGACTATGAAGGGCTTTGCACCGTGGGCTAAGGAGTTAGGACCTTATGTTCCAGGTCTCAGACAGCTACTGAGGGTATTTTTAGCAGGAGTGACATGATCAAAAAGACTGATCTGAAGGTCATACCTAATTCACAGCATGATCCCCAACATCTCTTCTCATGACCCTGTTGTGGGTTTATTCAACAGCTTTTTAACACATGTGAAACACCTGCATACACACCCAAACATGTGTGGAGACACTCATCTCCACAGGTGTAGGAAGACAGATATGCCTGGAACCTTGGCATTAGAATTGTAAAGAAGGGCAACTGGGTGGCTCAGTTGGTTAAGCATCCAACTCCAACTCAGGTCATGATCTCATGGTTCATGGGTTTGAGCCCCACATCGGGCTCTGTGCTGACAGCTGAGAGCCTGGAGTCTGCTTCGGATTCTGCGTCTCCCTCTCTCTCTGCCTCTCTCCCACTTGTACTTGCTCTCTCTCTCTCTCTCTCTCTCTCTCTCTCTCTCTGACTCTCTCTCAAAAATAAATAAATAAGCTTAAAAAAAAAAGAAGAAGAATTGTAAACAAAATTGGAAACTTCCAACTCCATTTGATTAGGAGTGTTTCTGGACTAACTCTGTGGTGGACAGGATCATGAAGCCACATGTGAACCGAGTGGGAAAGAGGATCTTCCTCAGTTAACCAAGTCAAGAGGATGCTAGGTCTTTGCCATCTCTGGCCTGAGCCCTGTCACAAGGTAAGGTCATCTTAACACAAAGAGTTGACTCTAACAATGGTGTGCCAAGCCTCCATGCACTTGTGAAGGAAGCTTTGGGGAGCAGGGAGGTCTTGCCTCCTCTCTTGAAACCAGTCCACTTGAGCAGCTACCTGCTTTACCCATATGTGAGGCCAAGTCTGGGCATTACATTACCTGAAAGAACAAGAACTGCTTGATTTTATCCCCTAATATCTAACTGGAGATGTTCAGAAAGATCAAAAATGATATTTTTCTTTTTATTAAAGAATCTATCTATACACTTAAGGTTACTTAAGCCAGAAGATCCTGGTTTTGGTTTGTGCTTTGCCACTTGAGTTTCTATGTGATCCTGAGCTACTGATCTCACATATCTGGGTCTCATTTTATTCACCTGCAAAGTGATTGCCTTGACTATGTCACCCTTTTCCAGTGAAGCAATCCTGTGGATGGGGAGGAAGTAAGGAGAGTATAGAGGAGCTGGGTGGTTGTGGCACCTCACACCTCCACTTTAGGACACAGAGTAGACTTATCCATATGATTTCCTATGAGGACACTTCTGAGCTCAAATAAGAAAAAAGTTGGAAAAGTGCAAGCTCTCAGAAAGCCCACTTGTAGCTCTCTTTGAGAAGAAGGAAATCTGTCCAGAATATATTCCCAGGGCTGAGACAGTGTGCAGAGTAGGTTTAAGTTTGGATGGTTGCTTATGGTCTTCACACTACAGCCCTCCAACTTACAAGAAAGCAAGAAGAGGGGTGGGTTGTGCATGGAGTGAGCTTCGAAGCCAGGATTGGTGGGAAGCAGAATAAGAGAGGCTGGGCCACACAGGTGCCCTAGACTTAAAAGGCCACAAAGCAAGGGAGTCTCCACCCCCTGCCCTGCTCTCTGGGGCTCTGAGCTGCCTGCTCTTGCTCGGAGAGGGATTTCTGTTGCTTAGTGCTATATTTTCATTTCTCTGGCGCCAAAGAACATCTGCATCTAGAGTTATAAGGTGAAACTTATTTACAGGTGCAATGTCTTGCCCACCGAAATCAGATGACTTGGTTTTCTTTGTGAATGGGAGGAAGGTAAGTGTTGGGTGATACTACTGTGGCTTGCAGAGACTACTAGCTTGAGGGGAATTCTTGTCCAGTCAGGGACAAGAAGCCAGGGGTGAAGAACCCATACTAATTTGGCCTCTTCCCCACTCAGCCAAGACTCGGCTTCTGAGAATATGGGGAGGTGGTAAAGCGTTAGGGTTAATCACATATGCCTTGGCATCAAGCAGTCTTGTTCCAATCCAGCTCTTGCATTTACTGTATGTCTTTATGCAAGTTACTTCACCTCCCTGAGCCTCAGACTACCTAGCTCTAGAATCTACTTCCTAAAAAGATTAAAAGAGAAATGCTCCTTTTATTGACTAGGAACCCCCTTTTCCCTTAAAAAGCACTTAGCACTGGGCCTGATATACTGGAAGCACTGTATCTAGTAACATATCTTGATCCTCAAACTCAGGATGACCAGAAATAGAGCTTCCTTTGTTTTTATCAACTTAATTTTTCTGTTGAGACTCCATTAATCAGAATTAGTCGAAATGTAATTGCAGTCAATTTTCAATCCATCCCCTCTTTCCCAGGTTGTAACTAAGTTCTAGGGGGAACATATGTGACAAGAAGAGGGGCTCTTCCAGTGTCACTTTCTCCTAGCATCCTCTCTTTGGTTCTCACCACTAGTCCACACAGGCCACTGGCTGACCCTCAGTGCCCTCTGCCAGGCCCACTCTGCTCATGAGCCTCAGTCTCTCCCTCAAAGGAACCAGTATGTAGTTCCCAAGGCATATGGCTTCTTTGGCATCTTTACACCTCCTGTAAGGCCCCTTGGCTACCCGATCCCACAAACCTAACTGGGATTTTTCCATGTCCACCCTCCCACCCCAAGAAAGGAAATAGAACAGAGAGCATCTAAGTTCTCATCATGTCCCTTGTAACTCTGTCTCCTGTCTCTAGTCTCCACAGCCAGCAGCCACCATACATTCTTCCAAACCTGCTTTCCAGAGCTGAGTCCTAACTCATTTGTTCCACTGGCCTAGACTTTAGAGGCTTCTTCCTCTATTTTCTGTTCCAAGCCCCTTCTGAGTCACGAGCCCAGAGTTATTCTTTGGAATCTACAGAAATTCATATTTTTCTTCTGGGGAGAAAGGAAGAACCTAATATGAATAGCTCACTGTTTCTTCCTTTCCTCTGGTGCAACAGAATGGCTAAGGTGTTTGCAGGAAACTCAAAGGTAAAGTCAAAGGAAATATTACAAAATGAGGAAATGGGAAAGAAGCACCAGAGATGATCCCTCCAGGCTTCTGAGTGATAATCCCCCACTTGTCAAGGAAAGGGAGGGAGGAATTCTAGTGCTCCACCAGAGGCACCCTGGGTCCTGAGCTTGGACAACAAGTCTCACCATCAGCCTCTCTGCGTGAAGGGACTAGCACACTCAGAGATCCCTTGAGGATGACAGCAACTCTCCCCACCTCCCCTTTCTGCTTCCAACTCTTGAGATCCCTCATGTTATCAAATGTAGTCCCTGCTGGAGGTGTTTCAGAGGTGCCAGATGAGAAACCCTTCCTATCCAGACTTCTTCCTTCTAGGACCCTTCATTGTAAACACACACACACACACACACACACACACACACACACACCATCCAAGTCTCTCCCCAATTTAAAATATTCCAAGAGTAAAAAAGACTGAGTTGGAAATTCCACAAAAACAAATGGTGGAGCAAAACATGAAGAATACAGCTCCCAGGGGTGGCTTACCCAGGGGTGGCTCCCCACTCTAATCACATATAAAAACATTGTTGTGCCACTTTCTTGGTGAGTCTCCAGCTCTGTAATGTATGTGAAATTCGTTTGCCTTTACAACAACAAAACAAAAACAAAAAGGCAATGAAAGTATTATGCCCTGGTCCCTAAATCATTAGCAGACCATTGCAGACATTCCACTGGGTCACCAATTTGATCCCCATAATAACCTCTTTTCTATTTCCAATGCAGGTGATAGAGAGGAATGCGGACCCAGAAGTCACTCTGCTGAACTTTCTACGAAAGAACTGGACCCTTTTGATCAAAGTCTGGGCAGTGTCTATGTTTGCCTTAAAACTCTAGGCCTGCTGTGATTGTGAAAACTAATCTACCCTCTCCATCCCCAGTCAGCCCCACTGGCCCTTCTCTCTTTGCTTTTGGCAATGGTTTTAAGGATATTAAGTTAATTGGGCTATTTGGAGAGGATGAAGTTTCCCCAGAGCTTCTTATATCTCGATTTAATAGCAATGAAATGGAAGCTAAGCTCTTTACTTCAGCACTAATTATTCCTTTAAGGGCTTTCCAAATTCCCAGGAGGGTGGTTATATAATAGAGATTTGTGTTGCATGTACCATGCCCCGGAGGGAAACCACATTCTCCAGATTCAGGAAGAGCATGTGTCATAGGAAAGGATTGCCTTTCCCTATATCCATTTTCTTATGGCAGATGTTCCCTACCATTTTATATTCTGAAATTTAGATCTTCATAACGACAACCATTTTCATTGGTAGGTTTAATATATCTCTCAGAGAAACCAAAAAGTAAATAAAGAAATGGAAGAAATTATAAATTGGTGGAGCCAACCCATGGACAAGTTTTGTTTAAAAGCCCACATGGTTTTTAATTAGTTGTCGATGTTTGAAAATGAGGAAATCTCATATTTTAGAAAATCAACATTTCTCAGTTTCTCATGAAAAATGAGCAAATAGTCATTTGTGTGTGGGTAGCAATCTAGCCGACTGGAGTAGGGACTGTCTAGAAAGGGGCACAAGCTCTCCAGTTACACTCCAGCTTATTCCACTCATTGACATGTCCTCTCTGATAAACATCTGAGGTTATGACTTAATTTAGGTGAACAAGCCCTATGGCTTAAAAAAAAAAAAGTCAGTGATTCTGAAATCTTTGTAGCCAGTCTAGTGAATTATATCCAATCTCATAAACTGGGTGGAAATGGACCACAATTAGGGAGAAGGATGACTAAATAGAGAGGCACAGAGACTGAGCCTGGATTTGAGCTTGGACTCAGAACAAGGGAAAGCAGAGGGACACTCCAGGTGGGATCTGAAGGTAAGGATGGGAGTTTTCTTCAAAGGCTCACTCATTTGTTTTCAAATGCAATACAAATGGACAAAACTAGCAATTCATTGAACTGCTAAAAATAAGATCTTCTCTTCCAGTTACATGATTGGAACCCAGAATACCTATAATGAAATAGGACTTTTCAAAGGAATTTTACAGCCATCATCCTACAAGATGTATATGATAAGCCTATGAATATAAAGTAACTATTACTTTTCCCTCTTTGCAAGTGAGAAAATGGGCAGGGAAAGGTTAATATGTTCAGTATCACACAGCTAATAAGATCTAGAGTGGCCTGAGAGCTGGAGGCAGGCGAATGACTTCTCAGACCTGTCCTTCACCCCCCAAAGACCTCCCTCACTAGCAACACCTGAGGGAGGTGGCTATAATGGGGGTAACATATCCATGTGGCATCTTTTCCTTGACCACCCCCTTCTAGTACGCCTCACAGGAACCAAGTATGCCTGTGGAAGAGGAGGCTGCGGTGCCTGTACTGTGATGGTGTCCAAGCATGACCCAGTGTCTGCGAAGATAAGGTATCCTACCCAGAAGCTCAGAGGCCAGAAGTGGCCTTTTTTTCTTTGCCAGGCTTGTATTCTCATCCCAGAGCAGAAGATCCCTAAGATCTTGTGATTCTAACCCTTTCTAGATCCTCAACCCCTCTGAAAATCTGATAAAAGCTCTGAGCCCCCTACTCAGAAGGTACATAAACTAATTATATTTTGCACACACTTTCAGGAAGATTACAGACATCCTAAGGCCCATCTATGCATCCCAGGTTAAGAAACCCCAATTTAGGCAAATCATTCATTTTACAGATGAAGAAACTGAAGCTTAAAGAGATGAAATGACTTGTTCAAAGTCATACAAGGTTGTAGATCAAGGACTTGAACCCACATTTTCTGGCTCTGAAGATAATGCCTCTTCTGCTGGGCTGGACCAACCCTGCAGAGCAGAGACCTGGCTCATGGTTGCATCCTTTAATTAAGAGCTGGATTCCAGGATTTGGGCTGCTCCCAGATCCACTAGCCCCAAAAAATCAAGAAATGGTCTCAGAACACACTCCATTCCACTGTTGAATGACCTTATCCAAAGAGTTTTAAATTAACAAGCAAAAGAAAAAAAAAATCTCAAATGTAGACATAAAAGACATAAGTATGCCTTTAATTTGTTATGGGGTCAATAGCCTAATGAATACTAGTTGAGGTCCAATTATACTCCTGGTAACTTGAATCCACTCCCATTGTGTCCAGGGCCAAGTAAATCTGTTCTGGACTTAGAAAGTTTTTCTGAGGAGCACCTGGGTGGCTTAGTCAGTTGAGTGTCTCACTCTTGATTTTGGCTCAGGTTACGATTTCATGGTTATGGGATCGAGCCCCAAGTCAGGCTCCTAGATGAGCATGGAACCTGCTTGGGATTCCCTCTCTCTCTTTCTCTCTCTGCTTTTCCCTATCTCTCTCTCTCTCTCTCTCTCTCTCTCTCTCTCTCTCTCTCTTTCTCTCTCCTTCCCTCTCTCCCTCTCTTTCAAAATAAATAAATGTTAAAAAGTTTTTTTTAATTTTTCTGAAGTTCAGAATGCCCAAGTTCCCTCTAAGAATCCCCAATTCTTACAGATAGTACAGGGTCAGCAGAGAGGATTCTAAACTCATCCTCCCTGTCTCCCCTTCAGTTCCCCATCCCTGAGGCTGAATGATAGGCTTGGTTTTTTGTTTTCTTTTGTTTTTTTTTTTTTTTTGATGTCCTTCTTGCTTCCCAAAAGGGAAGAACTGTGTTACACTCCTTGATTTTCCTTTTATTCCTCATATGAAGACACTTCTCCATTACTGCATGTCTGGTGCCCATCTGCTCTCTGTATGGGGCTGCTGTCACCACTGTAGAAGGTATTGGAAGTATCAACACCAGGCTTCACCCTGTGCAGGTAAGATCACGTTGTAATTTTCTCATTCTTAACTTTTTCTTTTTAACCAACACGGTGTTGACTGTGCTGCCTGGAGCTTCTAGGTTGTGATCAGGTAAGTAGAAGCTTTGGATGCATATTGATCAAGATAATAACATCTAAGTGATTTAAAGAAAGCTGGAAATCCATCCACATTTTATTAGATGATCATCTTTTTTCTTACTTTTTCCACTTGAATGATAAGCAGGATTATCAAAACATTGATTAATAACTATGTGACTATAGGCTGGAATAAATATTGTACAAAAGATATTATTCATAGGCTAAAATGTCAGAGGCAAACAAGATAAAACCCAGGATTATTCCCTGTGGCATAGGAGGTCTTAGGAGTAAAATTAGAACCAAGGCTGACTATACCAGACCACAAACACAATCATTTTTTTAAGTTTGTTTATTTATTTTGAGAGAGAGTAAGAGCACATAGGGGAGGGACAGAAAGAGAGGGAGAGAGAGAATCCCAAGCAGACTTGTGTCCCAATCCTGACAGGGGCTTGATCCAAATGAACCATGAGATCATGACCTGAGCTGAAATCAAGAGTTGAACACTTAACCAACTGAGACACCCAGGGGCCCCTCTCCAAATTTTACTTGAAGCTGGGACACAGAGGCTGGTTTTAAGAGAACTGTCACATGCATTGGCAGAAAACACACTGACTCCTCTGTCATTGTCACAAAGAATGGAGACAAAGAATTGGAAAATCATAGGTCCAGATCCACCAATACTACAAGTCCTTCCAGGCAGGAGGAGCCCAGAGGGTCTCTGGGTTTCAAAACATGAGAATCAATTCCAGGAAAGGTCAACAAAGGCAAAGGACCCAGCAGAATTTACTAGACTATCTAGGGAGATCAGAGAGGATTACACTCTGAAATCTAGATCAGGGCTTCCCAAATTTTAATGTGTAAAGAATCATCTGGGAACTTGTTAAAAATACAGATTCTGAGTCAGGAAGTTTGGAGCAGAGGCCTGAGGTTTTGCACTTCCTGCAAGCTCCCAGGTGGAACAAACACCACTGGTCCATAGTCTACACTTTAAATAGCAAGCATCTAGGACACAGACCAAAACCTTGGATCTTTGAAAGTAGAACTCCTTTTGAGCCAACACAAAAGAACTTAAAGAAGTAAAGTGAGGTCAACAGTAAATAGTCTCCAAAGTAATCAAAAAGAGGCAGCTCCATGGTCAGAATTAAGCTGGGCAAAATGTAGAGGTGTTCAAGAAAATTGTTTTTGAAACTTAAATATACTTTCCTTGTAATTACTGATTTCTGGAGAATTCTCACTCTAGGAATGGAAGCTGCACACTGCTAATTCCCAGTTAGAAGTATCTGAGCATCTGAGCTTGAGAGATGATTGTGACGATAGAATATGGCTTCCGAGTCACTTCCACCAGAGCAGCATAGGAAAGGGGACGCTGGCCATCTCTGGGCAAGAGGAGGAGTGCACTGCTTAGGGACTGGGTTTGACCGTGATAAGAGAGGTACCAGGTGTGGACCTCGGTGAGGGGTGCTGACAGCAGAAAGCCTGTGACCATGCATGTGTCCTTCTAGGAGAGGATCGCCAGGAGCCACGGCACCCAGTGTGGATTCTGCACCCCTGGGATGGTGATGTCCATGTACACACTGCTTAGGAACCACCTACAGCCTTCAGAGGAGCAGCTCATGGAAGCCCTGGGGGGTAGGTCTGACATGGAAAAAACCCACCACCTGCCTCAGGCCAGGTGGGAAACATGCCCCAGGCTCTTCCAGCCCTCTCACAAGTCATCCCAGCCCTGCTCAGGGAACCCCCTGGTTGTTTCTAAAGTATCTACAACTCACCCAAGAGCAGGGAAGAATGGCAGAGCACTTGTTGGAGAGGTCTGCATGGAACACACTGTGTGTGGATCACACACCCATATTGACACCTCAGTTCTCTATCCAGTGACTTATTTGTCTGCCTTCATTAGGGCTGCCAAAACAAAGTACCACCAACTAGGTGCATTAAAACAACAGGAATTTATTCTTTCAAAGTTCTAGAGGCTACAAGTCTGAAAACAAGGTGTCAGCAGGATTGTGCTCCCTCTGAAAGCTCTAGGGGAAGGTTTTTCCTTGCCTCTTCTTTGCTTCTGGTGTTTGACAGCCATCCTGGTATTCCTTGACTTACAGATGCATCACAGTCTAGTCCCTGCCTCTGTCTTCTCATGGCCTTCTCCCCTGTGTGTCTGTGTCCAAATTTTCTTTTATAATGACCCCTGTCACTAGATTAGGACCCATCCTTTATTTATATATATATATATATATATATATATATATATATATATATATATGAAATTTATTGTCAAATTGGTTTCCATACAACACCCAGTGCTTATCCCAACAGGTGCCCTCCTCAACGCCCATCACCCACTTTCCCCTCCCTCCCACCCCCCATCAACCCTCATTTTATTCTCAGTTTTTAAGAGTCTCATGGTTTGCCTCCTTCCCTCTCTGTAACTTTTTCCCTCTCCCCCTCCCCCATGGTCTTCTGTTAAGTTTCTCAGGATCCACTAAGAGTGAAAACATATGGTATCTGTCTTTCTCTGTATGACTTATTTCACTTAGCATAACACTCTCCAGTTCCATCCATGTTGCTACAAATGGCCAGATTTCATTCTTTCTCATTGCCAAGCAGTATTCCATTGTATATATAAACCACAATTTCTTTATCCATTCGTCAATTGATGGACACTTAGGCTCTTTCCATAAATTGGCTCTATGCATCAGCACTCCTGTATCACTTGGGTAAATTCCTAGCAGTGCTATTGCTAAGTCATAGGGTAGATCTATTTTAAATTTTTTGAGGAACCTCCATGCTGTTTTCCAGAGCGGCTGCACTAGTTTGCATTCCCACCAACAGTGCAAGAGGGTTCCCGTTTCTCCACATCCTTTCCAGCATCTATAGTCTCCTGATTTGTTCATTTTAGCCACTCTGACTGGCATGAGGTGGTATCTGAGTGTGGTTTTGATTTGTATTTCCCTGATGAGGAGTGACGTTGAACATCTTTTCATGTGCCTGTTGGCCATCCGGATGTCTTCTTTACAGAAGCGTCTATTCATGTTTTCTGCCCATTTCTTCCCTGGATTATTTGGTTTTTGGGTGTGGAGTTTGGTGAGTTCTTTATAGATTTTGGATACTAGCCCTTTGTCCGATATGTCATTTGCAAATATGTTTTCCCATTCTATTGGTTGCCTTTTAGTTTTGTTGATTGTTTCCTTTGCAATGCAGAAGTTTTTTTTATCTTGATGCAGTCCCAATAGTTCATTTTTGCTTTTAAATCCCTTGCCTTTGGAGATGTGTCAAGTAAGAAATTACTGCAGCTGAGGTCAGAGAGGTTTTTTCCTGCTTTCTCCTCTAGGGTTTTGATGTTTTCCTGTCTCACATTCAGATCCTTTATCCATTTTGAGTTTATTTTTGTGAATAGTGCAAGAAAGTGGTCTAGTTTCATTCTTCTGCATGTTGCTGTCCAGTTCTCCCAGCACCATTTGTTAAAGAGACTGTCTTTTTTCCATTGGGTATTCTTTCCTGTTTTGTCAAAGATTAGTTAGCCATACTTTTGTGGGTCCAATTCTGGAGTCTCTATTCCATTCCATTGGTTTATGTGTCTGTTTTGTGCCAATACCATGCTGTCTTGAAGATTACAGCTTTGTAGTAGAGGCTAAAGTCTGGGATTGTGATGCCTCCCGCTTTGGTCTTCTTCAATATTACTTTGGCTATTCGGGGTCTTTTGTGGTTCCATACAAATTTTAGGAGTGCTTGTTCTAGCTTCAAGAAGAATGCTGGTGCAATTTTGATTGGGATTGCATTGAATGTGTAGATTGCTTTGGGTAGTATTGACATTTTAACAATATTTATTCTTCCAATCCATGAGTACAGAATATTTTTCTGTTTCTTTGTATCTTCTTCAACTTCCTTCATAAGCTTTCTATAGTTTTCAGCATACAGGTCTTTTACATCTTTGGTTAGGTTTATTCCTAGGTATTTTATGATTCTTGGTGCAATTGTAAATGGGATCAGTTTCTTTATTTGTCTTTCTGTTGCTTTGTTATTAGTGTATAAGAATGCAACCAATTTCTGTACATTAATTTTGTATCCTGCGACTTTGCTGAATTCATGTATCAGTTCTAGCAGACTTTTGGTGGAGTCTATTGGGTTTTCCATGTGTAATGTAATGTCATCTGCAAAAAGTGAAAGCTTGACTTCATCTTTACCAATTTTGATGGGTTAGAGCGCATCCTAATCCAGTATGACCTCAATTTAACTTGAGTATATCTGCAGAGGTCCTATTTCCAAATAAGGTCACATTCACATGTTCCAGATGTTAGAACCTCAACATATCTTTTTGGGGGGACACATCAACCCATAATAGAGCCCTTCACATATTGAAAGGATGCTTTAGAATTTGCAATGCATTTAAGTTACTAAAGAAAAGTACATATTGATCAATAAGCATCATTTTCAGGTGTCAACAATTCCCTAAACAAGTCATCTGTTAAATGTATAGATTCTTAGGGGGAGCACAGACACACTCCCTAATCTGCCATTTGCTGGCAGTTGCTTCCTTTACTCTTCCTTTACTCTTTTTGTCCCATTATAGAAAATCATATAGTACATTAGAAATGGCCTACATTTTCTTGTTTTAGGATCCCCTGTATCTTACACAGATACATGTTGAATGAATGAATAAACTAATAGATGGATGCAGGTGAGCTCACCAGACAGACAATCATCTTTAGGGCAGAGAATAAAACTAGAATTGAAGTAGTGGGAAGGTTCATATTCTAAGAAGAGAAAAAGGATTGAATAGTCTGGCAGATATTTAAACACTCTAAAAAAAAAACCCTAAGTCAGTTTTAATTTTCCAATGAAAACAGTTAAAATAAAGCCTACTGATAAGCATGCTTCTTCTCTGATTAGGTAATCTATGCCGCTGTACTGGGTATCGGCCAATTCTCGAAAGTGGAAGGACCTTCTGTGTGGTGAGTAGGTGACATCCTACAGAGCAAGAATGACAGGGAGAGCTGGTCAAGCCTGGGAATACAGGGGTTGAGTTGTTTAGATCATCTAAACAGACTATAAGGGAGACCAAGTGAGTTTGTTCTAACTGACTCACAAGAATTTTAGCTATTTGTTAAGGACAGGGTGAAAGTTATACCACATTTGATGTTCCACAACCCACCACAGAGGGAGGTCAGGTGATCTAACCAGGCATCCAGATATCTTCTACGAATAGTTAAACAAGGCATCAGGCAGGACATGTAAGAGGGCTCCAGCAAACCCAAAGAGACAAGCAAAGGTATGAAATTTGCTTTGGGGAGACAAGGTTAGTTCCAAGAGCCCAGATTGGCTAGGAAAGTGTGAGCAAGTAAAGAAGCCGAATATGTAGAGTAGAATCCAAAATTCACCCCAAGTGCAAGAGCACAGGAAGTTTCCTTTACAAAAGATACTTCACTGAGTATCAAGATCAAATAAGAAATCATGGGCAAAGCATGTAGCAAAGTCATGGGGGGCAGTTAGTTGCTACTGTTATTGAGGATGCTGTTGAGGCAGGATGGAATTGGGCAGTACTGCCCTTATACCCAAGCAAGAGGGATTCCACATTTGGGAGGGCCCCTTGCTGGTCCTCCTCCAGCCATTCTCAGGAAGCAATGGAGCCAAGGGGACTTGTTCAGTTGGACCCTTCACACCCTTTTCTAGACCATGCTCCAGATATGGTCTCGACCCCATTCCTCGGCCTGACACCAGTCTCTTCCTGAACCCATCTTCCTAGAGCAGATCATAACAGCCAGCACATACACCCCTAGGTCAAAGGGTAGCCAACAACTGGTTGTTTCTGGAGGGTGTGGACAGAGCTGGGGCATTCAGGCCAGGATGCTCACACAGGTGTTTGAGTCCCCTCAGTACAGAAGGGTGGGAAAAGGAGGGCAGTAGGCCAAGGCCAGAGTGTCCATTTATACTCTTGCACTAGATCCACAAATAGTAGGGGTGGGCCTAGAAGTGGACCAGCAGGCTTGTCCCTTTTCCCAGAGCCAGGCAGGTCCCCGGTATGTGCATGTCCCAGACTTTTTTATTTCTTTAATTTAATTTATTTTTTTAATTTACATCCAAATTAGTAAACATGTCCCAGACTTATAATGCCACATGGGGGAGCCAAAGCTGAAGAGCTGAGAAATAAATGAATGCTTACAAACCCATCAAACTGCTGGTGTAAGTGAAACACTTGTGAAATATGAATAAAGGAAGTTAAAGGAAACTGCTCTCCCTCTGGAGTATGGATGTTATTCACTTTCCCAGGCATAGACTCTGGGGATAAAGGCAAAAATGTGGTTGGACACCCACCCTGTAGCCAACTGGCTACAGGGTGTTTAATGGGTGAAAGAAACTGGGCCCCAGTGGGAATACCCAAGACTCCTCTCTACCAGGCCAAGAAAAGACTGACTATTTTCTGTTGTCATTGATTCATGGCCCATTGTGGGCACTCTCAGAGCTCTAACTAAGAGAGGAAGCTCTGGTCACTGGGCCCAGCTGGTTTTGCTTCTTAGACAGAGTTAGGAAGATGGTGGCAGCCTGAGGCATTTGGGGGAGAGAACTGGGATATCTGGAAGAAAGTATTTTCCTAGATACTGAGGAAAAATTATTTAAGGTAGAAGACACAAGAGGTAAGTTTGGAGGAAACGGGAAATGAAGGAACCAGTAAATGGAAACCTGCTTTAAAGTAAAGTCAGCAATTGTCCATTCATTCCCAGTCAGTCCCATGCAGATCCCAAAGGTATGGAAGACCTAATTCCAAAATAGTTTTTTTTTTCATATTTTTTTCTTTTCTTTTTCTTTTGTTTTAAACGTTCTTATATAAATGATAACACTCAGTATTGTTGAATCGTATATATACTAGAGAATGGATAAATCATCATTGCCCCAAAAGGCATCATATCAATTAATTCTACTACTAGGAATTCACCTATAAAAAAATTCAGAGATGTATACATAGCTGTCCATGTAATGAACAGAAATGTTCATTATGTTATTTACAGTTATACAATGTAGGAAAAAATCTAAGTGTATAACACTTTGCTGTATAATGATACAGCAAAAGATTCACAACACAAATGAATAAATAAACATATAAATGGGGGTGCCTGGGTGGCTTAGTCAGTTGAGCATCTGATTCTTGATTTCAGCTCAGGTCATGATCCCAGGGTTGTGGTATCAAGCCCCAAGTTAGGCTCCGCACTGAACATAGCGCCTGCTTAAGATCCTCTCTCTCCCTCCCTCTGCCCCTCCCCCTGCCTCAAATTAAAAAAAAAAAATAATAATAATAATAAAAAGTTTTTCATCTCAAGGCATTTTACTGTCCTAGGAGTCAACTGACTGTCAAAAGAAAAGAACAGGAAAATGCTGCTCGGATCTGGGAGGAAATGATTCTTCCTCACTCAGCAGGGAAAGTGACGTGAGTCTCTGTCTGTTGTGTCCTCTCTGGGAGTATTGCTAAATATTGGCCTAGTGTTACTGTGCTTGTGAGTTTTGATGGTCATTCTCTGTATCACGTTCAAATCTCCAAAGCACATGCACTAATCAATCACTTTTCATTTGGGAACCCAGTAATGAGGTGATTGAAAATCAGGCTCTGATTTTGCCCTTCAGTCTCTGAAAGAATCAAACAATAAAACATAAACCTACTCAGACAAGAGCAAACAGACCTGCCCCAACTATGATGAGTCCCATCCTTGGGTGGAAAAGGGTTTTTGTGACTGACCTGACTCAGGCAGAGCTGTCCTCTATCACTGTGTCCCCCTTTGTAGAGAGAGGGCACTGCAACCTCAGCAGGAGAGCCTGTCCCAAGTCACATGGTGAGTTCATGATTAGCACAGCTGGGAAGTCCAGCCTGAAATACTGCAGTCTCTGGCTTTGCTCTCTGAGAGATACTAGTTTTCAGAAGACCCTGCTAAGTTCTTACAGGAATTACTTACAGAAGTTAGAATAAGGATAAAATAGAGTCTGCTCCCTGTAGACAAGGAAATATGAGAGAACAGAGTTATCCTTAGATGAAACTGAGCCCATCATCCCCCTGCTGTACCTATTTCTATCCTGCACACCTACCTAGTTCCCATTCTTGACCTCCCACTGCCACCTCATTTTGGTCTGAAGAAGGTGTGCAATGGAATAGAGGGTTTTTGCCAAAGAAGGCCGGCTGTACCCCCCACAACCACTTCACAGAGGACCAGTGCACCTCAGAGAGCTCAATACATTTTAAAGTCTGATTCTCGATTTTGTGGCCCAGGAAGTCAATCTGGGCAATGATTGGGCTCTGGGGACCACCTGATTTACTTTAACCAAACTCGAAGAACATGATATTTAAACTGGAGTGTGCCCTAATATACATTTACAGAAACGCAATCCTAAAATGGATCTTATGGTCACTGAGCCGCATGCTTTTTCCTTTTGGGAAAACACACACAGAAAGCACATTATAATGAGGTTGCTTGGTGAGCATGGATGCAGAGCAATTGGATAATCTTAAGGGTAATATCACAGAATATCCCTCTCTTCCACCAGGGTAGACCAGCTGGATGGCAGATGTCTGTCCCATGACTCTCCCTTCTCTTAAATCTATGTTAATATCTTCCATTACTAAGTCCTGGCCTAACACCTGGTTAGAGAAACTTTAATTCCTCAGACCTGATTCATTATGTTTGTGATTCAAAATGTTTTACATTTTCATTCTCACACACTATCTTATTTCTAGGTTTTAGAGATGTATCACATTATTGCCCCCTCTTCAGGAATGTTTTCTAGGAATAAGTGTTTCCAAAGCTAAAGCAGATCTCTTCCAGACAACATTAGAGTTTGGGTAACTTTTCACTGTGCTTTAGGTATCCTTATTGGTAAAAGTGGAAATGATAGTTTACTTTATTTCTAAAATTGTTGCAAGGACTAAACAAATTATTAAAATACATAAAAGCGCTTGGAATGTAACACCCTGTAAATGTTACCTATTATTATTAAAATTAGTGGGGGCAGTGTTTATGCCTAGGCATGTATGTCTAGAGTCATTTTTATTTAAACTTCAGGACTTCTCAGAACCTTTAGCATTTTGAATCCTGACTTGACAGGTGACAGAACAATGGCTGGGGCACAGTGGAGATGAGGTCCCAAACTTATTAACCTCTGATAGTTTCTTATAGATTGCCTTGGTGTTTCACAGGGTACTCTTTAAACTACTTCAGAGAATACTCTTTGCCCTAGTATCATATCAGTGGTAGAGTATTTCTCTTACAATAAGATTTTATTTAAAACATTTATTTGGTTTGGGGCACCTGGCCGGCTCAGTTGGTATAGCATGCAACTCTTGATCTCAGGGTTGTGAGTTCAAACTCCACATTGAGTGTAGAGATTATTTAAAAATAAAAATCTTTTTTTTAAATGTTTATTTTTGAGAGAGAGAGACAGAACATGAGCAGGGGAGGGGCAGAGAGAGAGGTGGAGACACAGAATCTGAAACAGGCTCCAGGCTCCAAGCTCTCAACAGAGTCCAACGCAGGGCTTGAACCCACAAACCACGAGATCATGACCTGAGCTGAAGTCCAATGCTCAACCAACTGAGCCACCCAGGTGCCCCTAAAAATAAAAATCTTTAAAAAAAAAACAAAACACTTTTATTTGGTTTGAACTATTTCCCATTACTCCTGCATTAGGAGAGTAGGAAAGTTATTACTATGTTCATTTTGCCTAATTATTGTAAAGAATTACAACAGTTTCCAGTTTAGCTGTGCTGACAAGGCCATCTTCTGCCCTTTATACAGATTTGCACAGACTTATTTGTGGAAGAGGAGTTCCAGCCCTTGGACCCTACCCAGGAGCTCATATTTCCCCCAGAACTCTTGGTAAGATGAGTTGAGTGCTTTATGTGTTTGTATAAATGTCACTGGTTATAAACTCAGTTTTATAAAACCACCCTTTCCTTCCTATGAAGTTGTCAAACTGTGGAAATATTTGATCACATCAAGAAGCCTGTCCTCACCCAGCTCACCAACCCTCCCTAGCTAATGCCCTTGACACGCTCACTGAAGCCTCAGCAAAGTCTCTTTTTCTTTTTTAATGATTCCATAATTATTGTCATCGTTGTCATCTGCAATGTCCTTGTTGACTCTTCCAAGCCATCCAGCTTTGCTCAGCTTCTAACTTGGTCTTCCAGCCACTCCAGTACATTGAATCCAAGGAGCACTTCCAGCCCTCCCTATGCCTTACCTTTCCTTCTATCAGCATCTCTCTTTCCTCTCTGGCATCCAGTGGTCCCATTCTATAAAATACTTATTTCTGAAGGGGTTCTGAAAGAGGTGTCCATTCATTCATTCATTCATTCAACAAACTTCAATCATCCAGCAACATGCCAGGTACTGTTCTAGGTACTGAATCGACAGACAGCAAGGAATAAAACTAACACAAAAACCTACCTTCAAGCAGTTGTAATCTGGTAGGAGAGGCAGATAATAAGCAAGATAATAGAAAGAGATACAGTGTGTTAGCCAGTGAGAAGTGTTAAGAAGGGAAAAGATAAAGCAGAAAAGGGGGATAGGATACGGGCCAGAGAAGATTTCTCCGAAAAAGTTTCAAAACTTTGAAAAAAGTTCTAACAGGGGTGCCTGGGTGGCGCAGTCAGTTAAGCGTCTGACTTCAGCCAGGTCACGATCTCGCGGTCCGTGAGTTCGAGCCCCGCGTCGGGCTCTGGGCTGATGGCTCAGAGCCTGGAGCCTGTTTCCGATTCTGTGTCTCCCTCTCTCTCTCTGCCCCTCCCCTGTTCATGCTCTGTCTCTGTCCCAAAAATAAATAAACGTTGAAAAAAAATTAAAAAAAAAAAAAAAGAAAAAAGTTCTAACAGAAGTGAGGGAGCAGCCTCAGTGACATGTGGGGGAAAAGCAGTCTGGACAGTGCAGACACCAAGTGAAAGGTGCCCAGTTTAGGAGAACACCTGCTACAGTCAAGGGAGAGCACAGGGTCCAGCCTGGCTGAAGCACAGTGAATGAGATCAGAAAGGCACTGGGAAGCAAACCATGAGGACTTAGGCTACTTGGCTTTTACCCTATGAGAAATGAGAAATGATTAGGGAGGTTGGACAGGGGAGGGGCAAGTTCCTATTAATGTTGTAATGGGATCTGGGATCGTTCTGGCTGCTGGGATGGGAATAGCCTGCTGAGAAGCACAAGAAGGAGCAGTAAGTGGGGGAGGGATGGAGGGAGAAAAAGAGAATCCCAAGCCAACTCCACGCTCCGCACAGAGCCCAATGGAGGGCCCCATCCCACAACTGTGAGATCACAACCTGAGCCAAAATCAAAGTGCCCCTCAGAAAAACAAAATAAAAAAGGACAAGATAAATGATAAAAAACAAAAAACAAAAAACCTCAGGGCCTGTGGGCAGTTCAGTCAGTTAAGCATCAGACTCTTGATTTAGGCTCAGGTCATGGTCCCAGGGTCATGAGATATCGAGCCCCGTGCCAGGCTCTGGGCTGACAACTCGAGCTTAGTCAAAGTGCTAATGCTATCCTGAGAGATGGAGGCCTGCATGTAGGTGGTGAGAAGAGAGTCAATTCTGGATATAGCTTGAAGGAGAGCCAATGAGATTTGCTGCTGACTGTGATATGGTGTGTGGGAGAGAGACAGACTGTCTCTGGGGAGAGACTGACTCTGACACTTTGGGCAGCTGGAAAGGTGAGTGGCCATTTACAGAGAAGGGGAACAGCTCAGGAAGAACAGGGCATTTTTTTGGTGGGGGTTCCTTTTTGGGAGCTTCAAAAAGAAGGGGATATGAGGAGCTCATTTTGGGAAATGTTAAATCTGAGATGCCTATTAGACATCTGAGAGGAGACATCAAGTTCTCATTCAGATATATGAGTTTGGATTTCAGAGTAAGAGTCCGGGCTGAAAATACTAATTTAGGAGCATTAGTACAATTATGATTTTTAAGGCCATGATACTAAATTATGTTCAATTAATCTATACTGAATTGTCATTGATAGGTGCCAGCTTATGTTGTCACCTGCCTACAAAGAGCTATATACCAAAAGTCTTAAGTTAAAGGAGTAAATATCTATTTATGGAAGTTCAGGCATTAGTCAGTGTGTGTAGTGAGTATCTTCTTAGTCAAGTGGACTTCAGGACTCCTGAAATCTCTCTGGAGGAATATACCTCCACTTGGATCTCACATAAGCCAGGATGGCAGGTGTGCGCATGTACATCCACATTTTCATTTGCACCTAGAGAATGGCAAAGAACCCAGAAAAACAAACCCTGACCTTCCATGGAGAGAGGGTTACCTGGATCTCCCCTGGCACCCTCAAGGATCTCCTGGAGCTGAAAGCAAAACATCCTGAGGCCCCTCTCATCTTGGGCAACACTTCACTGGGTGAGTGATTACAGCATTTTTCCTCTCACCGCCAAGCTGGTCCTCCTGTCCCCTACTTTGCTCTCAGTCTATAAAAACTACTTTTTAAGGATAAAAGCCTCAACCTTTATAATAAAAATAATATAATAGTATATTATAAAACATATATAATATACCATTGTATATCATATGATATGGTTATCTAATTATATAATTTTGTACCGTGGGAGTATGCAGCATGACCCCCTGAGGTATGGGGAAAAAATATTAGAGGGTATTTTGGGTTTTTTGTTTTTGTTTTTGTTTTGAGAGAGAGAGAGAGAGAGAGAGAGAGTGCATGAGCCGGGGAGAGGGGCAGAGGAAGAGAGGGAGAATCTTAAGCAGGCTCCATGCTTAGTGTGGAGCCCAATGTGGGGCTCCATCCCATGACCCTGGGATCATGACCTCAGGTGAAATCAAGAGTCAGACTCAATTGACTGAGCCACCCAGGCACCCTGAGGGTTTTTTTCTTTTTTATCATTTAGTTTATCTTGTCCTTTTTTATTTTGTTTTTGTTAAATAGTGAGTAGATATAATGGAAGTCTGTAAAATATGCATGGGTACATTAACAATGCACACCCACTTACCAGCTACACCCAGTTTAAGAATGAGCACTTTACCCAGAACTTTGAAGGCCCGGGAGCCCTCCCAAACCACATCCCCTTCCCTTCCCTTCCTCTCAGAAGCACTCATTAGTCTGAATGTGGTAGTGGTCAGTCACTTTCTTGTATTTACAATTTTACCACATATATTTGAGACTTTAAGCAATATGTCATTTACCTTAGCATATTTTTGAACTTCACATAGAGTGACATAGTGTCATTCTTCAATTTGCTTTGTTTGTTCAACATTCTTGGCCTGAGATACACTCATAGTGTTGCAGGTAACTGCTAGACTCCATTGTGTAACTACATATAATTTGCTCCTCCATTCTACTATTGAAGGACATGGAGCGATTTCCAAGTTTTGCCTATTATTAATATTCTTTTTTTATTATTAAGTTTTTTATTTTAATTCTAGTATGGTCAATATACAGTGTTATATTAGTTTCAGGTGTGCAATATAGTGATTCAGCAATTCTATACATTATTCAGTGCTCATCATGAGAAGTGTACTCTTTAATCCCTTTCACTTATTTCACCTCCCCCCGCCCCCCAGCCACCTCCCCTTTGGTAACCATCAGTTTGTTCTCTATAGTTAAGAGTCTGTTTCTTGGCTTCTCTCTCTCTTTTTTTCCTTTGCTCATTTGTTGTTTTTTTTCTTAAATTCCACATATGAATGAAATCTTATGGTATTTGTCTTTCTCTGACAAACTTATTTCGTTTAGTATAATGCTGTCTAGCTACCTCCATGTCATTGAAAATGGCAAGATTTCATTCTTTTTGATAGCTGAGTAATATTCCAGAGAGACAGAGACTGTGTGTGTGTGTGCGCGCACGTGTGCGCGTCTCTGTGTGTGTGTCTGTGTGTCACGTCTTCTTTATCCATTCATCAATCGGTGGACACTTGGGCCGTTTCTGTAATTTGGCTATTGTAGATAATGCTGCAATAAACATAGGGGTGCATGTATCCCTTTGAATTAGTGTATTTGGGAGGTAAATTTCCAGTGGTGTGATTCCTGGATCATAGGAAAATTCTATTTTTAACTTTTTGAGGATGCTGCATACTGTTTTCTACAGTGGCTGCACCAGTTTTCATTCCCATCAGCAGTGCACAAGAGTTCCTTTTTCTACACATCCTCACCAATACTTGCTATTTCTTGTGTTGTTAATTTTAGCCATTCTGACAGGTGTGAGGTGGTATCTCGCTGTAGTTTTAATTTACATTTCCTTGATGATGAGTTATGCTGAGCATCTTTTTGTGTGTCTGTTGGCAATCTATGTGTCTTATTTGGAGAAATGTCTGTTCATGTCTTCTGCCCACTTTTAATTGGATTATTTGGTTTTTGGCTATACAGTTGCATAAGTTCTTTATTTTGGATAGCAACAATTTATCAGATATGTCATTTGCAAATATCTTCTCCCATTCAGTAGGTTGCCTTTTAGTTTTCTTGATTGTTTTTTTTGCTGTGAAGAAGACTTTATTTTGATGTAGTCCCAATAGCTTATTTTGGCTTTTATTTCCCTTGCCTCATGAGACATCTAGAAAAATGTTGCTACAGTCAATGTCAGAGACATTACTGCCTGTGCCCTCTTCAAGGATTTTATGGTTTCAGGTCTCACATTTAGGTCTTTAATCCATATTGAGTTTGGTTTTATGTATGGTATAAGAAAGTGGTCCAATTTCATTCTTTTGCATGTAGCTGTCCAGTTTTTCCAACACCGTTTGCTGAAGAAACTGTCTTTTTCCCATTGGATATTCTTTCCTCCTTTGTTGAAGATTAATTGACTAAACACTTGTGGGTTTATTTCTGGTTTTCTATTCTGTTCCATTGACCTATATGTCTATTTTTATGCCAGTACCATATTGTTTTGATTATTACAGTTTTGTAATATAACTTGGAGTCTAGAATTGTGATACCTCCAGATTTGCTTTTCTTCATGAAAATTGTTTTGGCTATTTTTGGGTCTTTGGTGGTTCCATACAAATTTTAGGATTGTTTGTTCCAGTTCTGTGAAAAATGGTGTTGGTATTTTGGTTTTTGGCTATTGAGTTGTATAAGTTCTTTATTTGAGATACTAACACTTTTGATGGAGATTGCATTCAATCTGTAGATTGCTTTGGGTAATGTAGAGATTTTAGCAATATTTGTTCTTCCAACCCATGAACATGGAATATCTTTCCATTTTTCTATGTTATCTTGAATTTCTTTCATTAAAATTTTATAGTTTTCAAAGTACAGGTCTTTCATCTCTTTGGTTAAGTTTATCCCTAGATATTTTATTGTTTTTGATGCAATTGTAAATGGGATTTTCTTAATTTCACTTTCTGCTGCTTGATTATTAGTACATAGGAATGCAACAGATTTCTGTACATTGATTTTATATACTACAACTTTACTGAATTCATTTATCCATTCTATGATTTGGGGGTGGGGATTAGTTTTTAGGATTTCCTGTATATAGTATAACATCATCTGCAAATAATGAAAGCTTTACTTCTTCCTTACTAATTTGGATGCATTTTATTTCTTTTTGTTGTCTAATTGCTATGGTTATGACTTCCAGTACTATGTTAAATAAAAGAAGTAAAAGTGGACATCCCTGTCTTATTCCTGACCTTAGGGAAAAGTTTTCAGTTTTTCTCCATTGAGTATGATATTAGCTGTGGGTTTTTCATATAAAGCCTTTATTATATTGTGGTATGTTCCCTCCAACCCTACTTTGTCAAGAGTTTTTATTATGAATGGATGTTGTACTTTGTCAAATGTTTTTTCTGCATCTATTGAAATGATCCTATGGTTTTTATTTTTTCTCTTATTGATGTGATGTATCAGGTTTATTGATTTGCAAATATTGAATCACCTTGCATCCCAGGAATAAATCCCACTTGATTGTGGTGAATTATTTTTTAAATGTACTATTGGATTCAGTTTGCTAGTATGTTGTTGAGGATTATTGCATCTATGTTCATCAGTGATGTTGGCCTGTAGTTCTTTTTCTCAGTAGTGTCTTTATCTGGTTTGCTATCAGGGTGATACTGGCCTCACAGAACGAATTTGGAAGTTCTCCTTCTTCTTCTATTTTTTAAAATAGTTTGAGAAGAATAGGTATTAAATGTTTGGTAGGGATGCCTGGGTGGTTCAGTCAGTTGAGCATCTGACTCTTGATTTCAGCTCAAGTCATGATCCCAGAATGATAGGATCAAGCCCTGCATCAGGCTCTGTGCTGAGCACGAAACCTGCTTAAAATTCTCTCCCTCTGTCCCTCTCCCCTGCTCATGTGTTTTCCCTCTCTCTCTCTCTCTCTCTCTTTCTTTAAAAAGAAAAAAAACTAACTTAAAAAAATTTTTGGTAGAATTCACCCATAAGGCCATCTGGCCCTAGACTTTTGTTTATTGGGAGTTTTTTTATTACTGATTCAATTTCATTGCTGGTAATCAGTGTGTTCAAATTTTCTATTTCTTCCTGCTTCAGTTTTAGTAGATTATATGTTTCTTATGGTGAATATTCATATATGTTATATGTTTCTTATGATGAATATCCTTTATATGTCTCCTGGTGTCAATGTGCAAAAGCTTTCTAAGAACCTCCCATCCATTTTATTTTCTGGTTTTATAAACATATAATGAATGTATAAATAAGTAAATACATGTACTGGGAGAACATCCCTATAAATTTACTTTGCAGGAAATATGGCCATTGCTTTCATATTTATACACATTTATTACCAATTAAAAAATGGTATCTGAATATTTTTATGAGAAACTTTCAGTACCAAAAAAAAAGGCATATTCTCTTTCCTATCTGTCTAATACATATATATTTATTTATTTACTTTTCAGGACCTGCAATGAAATCTCAAGGACGTGTTCACCCAATTCTCCTCTCTCCTGCTAGGATTTCTGAGCTCAGTATGGTATTTAAAACAAGTGATGGTGAGTTCCTGATGTTCTTAGTAAAGCATTAGTGAACCAATCCCTGCACTAAACTTACACTTACCAAGTAGTCTGAAACCTCCTCATACATTTGTCTTGTCTGGCCTATTTCTAGCTCTTCATCATTTTTCTGATGTGATATAATATCCCATCCATAAAACCTTGCCATCAAAAGCTTTGCAGAATATGAGGTATTCAGATGATATTATTCAAGACCTTCTAGTCACATGCAGGATTCTTGCCTATAAAATGTTATGTGACCAAAAGACAATAAATTTGCAGTGTAATTTTGATGGGAAGACAGTGAGAGAACTAGTGCCATCCATCGGTTGAACAGTCAATTCCTAGGAGGGAGGATGCTTGCAGGGGAAAGTGGGAGAAATATCATCAGGCACTCAAATGCTACTTGTTTCATATGGACAATGGCAAGAGGTAAAATGAGACAAAGACCTGCCCAGGTAAACACCTCTAGTCACTTACAACATCCTTCAGGGCCCACTACCTGCCAATACTACTACATCAGGCAAGGTGGTACTCACAAAGTAGTAAGAAAGCATGCAGGACTTTGCCTTCTTTTACAAGGAACCTTATTTCACTCCTCTCCTCATCCCCCAGACCTCCTAGCATGTAAGTACATGCATATAAGTGCTCAATTCAATGACTGACAAATGAAGAGTGGGAAAAAAATGAATGAATGGGTGGGCCAGGAACTTGAGTTTGGGATGCAGTGGTAGTAATGACTTTCTTAACTTAGACAACAGAGTTAGAACTGAAAGTTTGAGTCAAGACTTACTGGCCATTGTGTGCTTGTGGGCATCACTGGTAAGCAGGGCAGGGGACCTACCTTGGGTGTATCACTGCCATCTAGGAGTCCAGCCTTCCTGGCTTCTAACCATCATCAGCCAAACTTAGACTGTGCTGCAGACCAGCAAGCATGCCCTTCCCTGACCTCACCCCACCCATTTGCAAGGGGAGGGACCCTTCCTGGTTTTGCCTAGCACTGCAGCCTCACAGCTTCAGGTTTGGGACAGTTCAAGTAGCACACCTAAATGTCACTCAGAAAATGAGGGGAATGTGCTTAGACTCACTCAAAATCTTGGTGAAGGCAGAAGGGAAAGAAGAGGGAGAGCAGCATGGGTGGGTTGGGAGCAGAGGTGACCAGTACAAACAGAAGGTTAAGACAGGAAAAGCCTTCCCTGACCTTCACCCCCGGCATCATTTAACCCACCACTTTCAAACTTCTCTGTCCACAACCCTGTCCTCAAAAAAATCTGAAATAGAGTAAGTAAATGAAAATAAGATGCTCTGTTTGAAGGAAAGGGGAGACTTCTCACCATCCCTCTGTCTCCGGACCGCTGTGTCTATGCCTGAGAGACCCCTTCAGAGCACAATTCATATCCCTCAGTGTAACCGCAGTCCCTCATCTCAGGAATTCCTCATGAGGAAGCCAAGATGCAAAAGGAAAGTAAACTTGCCCAAGGTCCCTGAACTGGCTGGTGGCCAGGTCACCAAGCCACATATCTCCCATTTCCAATTCAGAACCCTTTCCGTTAGCACCCTTCCTCATCCTCCAGGCCCACCCCAGGGCCTGTCCAATTGGTTGTTCAAATGGACTGCTCAGTTTGGATCTGCAAACAAAGTAGAGCCAGATTCTGAAATCTGAGGAAACAGTATGCCTTCCTCAAGCCCTCTTAAAATTAAAGTGTGAGTACCCTCTAGTGGCAGAATGTTCCTTCAGGAATATTTCTCTGGATTCTTGAACTTTTCCTAAGGCCCAGAAGAATGCAGGACACTGGTGAGGGAAGGGTACATTGGAGCCAGGTGTGTGTGTATGTGTGTGTGTGTGTGTGTGTTCCCCCATCCCAGAACCCCCTCCCACAGGAGTTAAATCTCTGTGACAGCTTATGTTTGTTTAAATTTTGCATGCTAATCCATATCACATACATGTTTGACTTAGTGTACATTTTTTTCCCTCAAAATCTTTAGTATATTAAATGCTCCAGAAAATCCCTGCATCTTTATCCCATAGACCCATGAACTCTGAAAAGCATGAAGTTAAAACAAAACCCACATTCTCAGAATCAAAGTTAAAGCTCTTTCCAACTACTGGAATATAAGCTAGGTGTTATGACCAAAGATGTAGTAAAATACGAATAGTACAGTAAATACAATTTTCTCAGTGCAGCTATGCCATGGCTCGCCCAAAGCCAGGGGGTAATGTGAGCAGTGGAATCAGAGCAGAGCAGACAGCTAGACTTTTACTCTCCCCTGGGGCTGAACTGCCCTATTTTATCTACATCAAATAAAAGATGGTTGTGCTGGTCTGTATGATGCTTCTGACCTTTAAATCAATCAATCAATCAATCAATAAATAAATAAAGTCTTTTTGTTTTTGACTTCTTCCCTACTAATAAGGCTCTGGGTCTATTAGGTAGGAGGAATTGTATGACAGGAATCAAGCTTGGTCTTCTCAGTGCTCCTGTGAGCAAAAGTATGGCCAGGATTTTTGCAGAAGTTAAAGACCAACCTCCAATGGACCCTGTGGTGAGAGGAAGCAGCAGACCATTGCTGATGGGTCTGGGATGGGCTCCTATGTTGCAGAGTGCCTTTTATGAAACACTGGGCTGCAATAGGGTAAGGACTCTAGGTTGAGACATTCCAGGAAGGAGTAGCAGTTTAGTTACCTTCAGGCAAGATTTGCTTAGTATAAAGAAAGTAAAGAACAGAGAGTAGTTTCCCTAATCAATTAGGTTGGCTGTGATTATTGAAGTCACAGGTATGTTATGTGTTATGTGGGTATGTTAGCAAAGGTGGGGGAAGTATTGTGCCAAGTACATTTTTAATATTGATAAAAGATAAAGCTATATGGGAGGGTAAAATATTCTCAAAGATTAATCTACAAGAGAAAACTCAAAGCATAGCCTGTGACATTATGAAAACAGACTAACTGCAATTAGAACCCAGCCCTGGAAGTGATGTCCAATCAGACTGTATGTGAGAGCAACTCATTCTACAAACCTGAGGAAGTAAAGGATTAATTTCAGAAGGCCAACTAAGTGATCTCCTGATGACTTGGGTGATTGCTTCACTTCAAAGATTGATCTGAACTTTTTTCATACCTATTGTGGGGAAACCCCAAAGCTGGTGCTAGTATCCTGCCTATATTCACAAGTATGCCTGCAACACCTGTTAATTTTTAATTACTTCCTTTTTCAGGTGGCACATAGCATTGCCCCAATCCTTCTGGATGCTTTCCCATCGCTTCTGCTTTTCTGGCCCCTCCCTGGGGACTCCCAATGTCCTGAGACCCAATAATACCCAAAATAATACTTGGGGAAGCTCTTCCCAGAGGCTATGTTCATTCTGATTACCTGGTGCCCCTCCTGTAAAAGATTTTGAGTCTCAAGGCTACCTATAGAGGTGGAAATCAGCAGTCAAAGCATTATTAATTATAGACAATGATCTGGGCAATTGAAAGACCTTTGCAATTATTTTAATGCCGTCAGATTTATTCCCCTTAATCACAAAACAGCTTTGCATAGCTTCACTGTGGTTAGTTAGGAGGGGGGTCAAGGAAAGCTCTAGTAGAGTCTGCCACCTGCTACTTGTCACTGTCATTCCTTCTCTCTAGCCTCTCTTTCCTTGCATTTGTCCAAAGGAGAGTATAGACCAGCCCAGGACTCCTAATCCTGGCTGCACAGAATTACTGGGGAGACTTTGAAAGAGCCCCATCCAGAGATTCTGATTTAATTGATCTGGGAGTAGAGTATCGGTGCTGTTTTAAGTTCCCAGTGATTCTCTGTACAGCCAGTGTGGAGAGCCAATGTACCAACTGTACACTAAGGCCCAGCACCAGGATTATAATTCAGTTGCTTCTCCAATGTCACCTAAAAAAACTTTTCTTTTCTAGGACTGACAATAGGTGCTGGCTGCAGTCTGGCCCAAGTGAAGGACATTTTGGCTGAGCAAGTTTCCGAGCTTCCAGAGGAGAAAACTCAGACATACCGAGCCCTCCTAAAGCACCTGAAGAGTCTGGCAGGACAGCAGATCCGGAATATGGCAGTATGTCCTCTGGGCAAATCATTGGGCACACTGCACCTATTTCTTTTCTTTTTTTTTTTTTAAGTTTATTTATTTTGAGAGAGAGAGAGAGGAAGGGCAGAGAGGGAGAGAGATAATCCCAAGCAGGCTCTGTGCTATTAGTGCAGAGCCCGATGTGGGGCTTGAACTCACAAACCACGAGATCATGGCCTGAGCCTAGAACAAGAGTTGGACATTAACCAACTGAGCCACCCAGGTGTCCCTACACCTATTTCTTAAGCTCACTGAAATGTTGAAATAAGCACTGGCAGAATCATTATGCAAAAAGGTCTCAGCAGATTGAAACAACAGGCACAATAAATAAATGTTTAATATTTAACAAACATTATTAAAAATATATTTAAAAAACGACTCTAAATCAAGTTCAGTAGAATAGCCAAGTGACAATGTAGGTAGGAGAAAAGGAGATCACAGTTTTGCTCATTTCATGATAAGAATGTCAAAGAAACTAATTTAGTTTTAGGCTGTATTAACAGAAGTATAATACCTAAAATAAAGAGGGTAGCTTCCTCTACTCCATACTGTTCAGACCACAGCTAGAGAATAATGTACAGATCTGGGAGGCACACTTTGAAGTCTGGCTGGTTTTGACCTTAGAAGAAAGCAAAAGAGACATAGGTTTTCAAAATATGCATGCTCCCTCTTCTACATACCCCAAATGGTGTGTTAGAGATCCTTGGTATATGAGGAATCAGGGGAAGAGACAGTTCTGTGAAAAAGCTCTTCAAATGATTCCAAAATGTTCTCTCTTCCTGTTAAGAACTCTGACACCTTGCAGCCTGGCAAGGAGATCATGGCAGGAGAGTAAGGGCTTGGAAACCACATCAGAAAGAGGAATGGTGGGGGTTGGGGCAGTCAGAGAGACCATGAGAGCTGCCTTCAAATATTTTTTTAAGTTTATTCAAAGGCAGAGAGAGAGGGAGAGAGAGAATCCCAAGTAGGCTCCTCTCTGTCAGTATGGAGCCTAATGCAGGGCTCGAACTCACAAACCATGAGATCATGACCTGAGCTGAAATCAAGAGTCTGATGCTTAACTGACTAAGCCACCCAGACCTCCTGCCTTCAAATACTTATAGACTCATGAAGACAGATGTGATTTATTTGATATAACCACAAAGGGTAGAGGTAGAAGTATGACTGATAGGGGAAAGTCCAGGGAGACAGAATTCAGCTCAGTGGAAACAAGAACTTTAAAATCAAGCTGTTGATAGAGAATCAGGGATTCCCTGTCTTCACCCATGTTCCAGCCCAGCCCTCAGCAACCAAGATGGTCACTGTAGATTCCATCACTATGTGGGGAGGAGAGTATTAGGTTGAATGGCCATTTTCCTCCCAAGTTCTGAGATGTTATAGGCTCAACCAGATCTAAGAAGGGGCAACTGTCTCTCAGATGCCCAGAACCCCAACACACCTGTATGAAGTCTGGCCATTTCAGGGGCAGAGTTAGATGTGGCTGAGGTCCTATGTACCAAAGGCAGGACGGCATCTTTGTAGCTGATACCACAGCCATCTGTGCTGTGGCCAAGGCTGAGTAGGGGGTGGTTCAGAGTGGGCCATGGAGACCCACTGTTTAGGTTGGAATCCCAGTCCTGCCCCTTCCTAGCTGGGACACCATGGTCAAATTTCATCATTTCTCTATGCTGAGTATCTTCAGCTGAAAAATGGAGACAATGGCATCAGTCTCACTGGGTTAAAAAAAAGTAAGTAAGTGTGTGTAAAGAAGTAGAACATACCAAATGCTGTGTGAGTGTTGGTTACTATCAGTTCCTGTCCCATCCAAAGTAGTGGGTGAGAGGTTCCTTCCAGACTGTCTGAATGGAGTCTCTCTACCAAGAGGACCAAGATCCCTTGTGACACTTTTACTACAAGAGGACCTTAAGCAGGTGCCTGTGGGGCCTAGGATCTGAGGAATAGAATGACCAAGGCAATAACTCTTTCTTTTTAGTCCTTAGGGGGACATGTTATAAGCCGACATTGCTATTCGGATCTGAATCCAATTTTGGTTGTGGGCAATGCTACCCTCAATCTGATATCAGAAGGTAAGCTACCCCAGAACATTCTAGATTGCACCTAAGATTTTTTGTCTTTCTTTTTAAGGAATTGGTATAAGTCAGAGCGCTGATCTCTGGCTCTTAATCCACCATGGGAAGCTCAGGCTCCTAGAGGAAGGCGCACTGATACAAGGGAGTGGCTAGTGCTTCCTTCTGGCACCACTGCCCATGTACACACAACATTCACCCCACCATAGCCGTGTGACAGCCAGGGGTGGTGTGCAGAGGCTGAGGTGAAGGCTGTCTGCTGTCTGAGGACTGTTGTCTACTCTCCTTCATTCCTATTCCCCTCAGTTGCTGTGTGAGAAGCCACAAGTCTGGGGAAGACACACAACAAACACCATGGGCCCTCTAGGGACAGAAGGAAGACAATGATGAATTTTACATGCTGGCTGAAAGGACCATTCCCTGGGGCTGCTCCATGCAACACTACCCTTGTCTTCCTGGAAACACTCAGCTCTCTCCCTGCCTCCACTGCTCCAAGAATGCTGACGTACCCCTTTACTGGGCACTAACTGTATGCCAGGCTGTATTGGACATCTTATACACAGCATGACTAGTCCAACCAACCACCCAGCTGTCACTTGTAGAGACAGGCACAGGATGGGAACCATCATCTGCATCAGGCTCCCTCTCCAGGGCCTCTGGCTCTCCCTCCCATCACTTCTCCTGGTCCTTCACCCACAACCCATCAAATATACACTCCTTCTGTCCCTCCCACTTGGCCAACCAGTCATTTACCCCTCCTATGGGTGGACCGGACCCAGGCACTAGGGTGCAGGGAAGAAATCACAATCTGCTCCCCACATGAACTTCAGGGGTGTATCCAACCAGGAATTATATCACAGGCAATGTAACCCTCCCAAGGGGTTTGTTGGCCATAATACTATCCCATCCCTAACTGGTGGGAAGTGCTGGGAGAGCCTTTGTGCAGAGGAAAAGCTCGCACACCCTTATTCAGCTTTGCATGGGGCCCGCCCAGGAGGGAGGAGAGGAAAGGCCTCACCCTGGCCTGGCCTGGCCTGGTCAGCCATTTTCCTGAGTCCTCCCAGCCTGTGGCTGAATGTGACCCCAACCTGACCCCCAAACACCAGAAAAGAAGAAGCCAAAAATCTGGGGCATCAGGATAGCAAGGATATCCTGGCCTGCATGCAGGGCCTTCTACTACATTAGCAGTAGTGTTCTTCTACTGGAGGTTGGTGGTTACCTTTGGCTTAAGGTCTGTGCTTTTCCAGCTCTGCCAAAGCCACCTCCACCCTGAGCGCAATGTTTCTCTGGTGCTGGTAGATGAGCTCACTGACCTAGCAGCAGGGCAGGCCAGCAAAGGTCAGCAGGAGCTCCATCTGGGGTTCTCCTGCTTCCTTCTCAACTACCCCTACGTTCCAATCAACATTTTGCCTCTTTTGCCACGAACAGAATCCATCTCAGATTCGCTGGGCTGTAGTTTGATCTCCTCATGGCACCTGCTGCGGAGCCGCAAACCACTTTTTAAAACCAGAGGGCCCTGCTCTGACCACTAAATTATAACACTGGGCCAAACGGAGGGTTTGTGAATTGCTCACTTTGTTTGAAAGATGTAGGTCTCCAGTTTAGATGCCAACAGCAGCAGCAAGAACAAAAAGAAATGCAATGACTTGAGCTCTGTTAATAGTGGAAATAAACTCTGTCTCCACTGAAGCCATGCCCTTACCTTGATCACAGTAGTGAATGAGTTAGATTTAGTTAACCAGCTTCTGCCTAAAGATGAAAATGGTGCCGGCATGACAGGCCTTGGAGGTGGCAGGAGACCCTGTCCACATAGCACGTATGCAGAGACGAGTAAATGTCAAGAGGCCCTGCTAGTCCTGTCTGTGCAGGGGAGTGGGGGAGCCCTGGACTGCATCACTCTGTGCAGAGGGAGGTGACCTTTCCTCCTTGCTGCTGACATTTAAGGGTACAGAATAATCCGGCATTCCTCACTGCAACCATGCAGAAATGTCATTTTCTTCGACAGAAGGTACACGGCAGATCCCTCTAAATGACCATTTTCTTGCTGGGTTGGCAAGTGCAGACCTTAAGCCAGAGGAAATTTTGGAATCTGTGTACATCCCGCACTCTCAAAAGGTAAGAATTCTGCTGGTTGCTTTTAAGAGTTTGTTTTTCCCTTTTCATGACAGAGAGCAGTCATCTTCAGAAATCTGAAAACAGATGGAAGGAAAATGACTGCCCTGAAAATCTGTTTCCTGTCCACTGTGGACTGGCCTAGCACCAAGGCCCTCAGACACCCTCGGGCAAGCAGCTCCGGGCTGTGATTTGGGGTTGTTGTTTCAGCTGTGGGGTGGGGCCTGCTGAGGGCATGTGGTTGTGCTTCCACACCCCTTTATGTCTACAGATCGACTCTGGGAGGCGGAAATTAAAGCTCTCTGGCTGTGGACGAGCTTCTCCGCCTGACCCACAAAGAGGTGGAAGCTGGAACAGGGTCTCCCCGCTTCCCACTCTAGCTAACGCCAACAGCTCACAGGAACAAGAGGACCTCCAGATGTTTGCTAACACAGGATGTCTGGGATTGATGTGGCCACCCAGCTGGCTTTTGAGTGGGGCCTCTGTCTTCACTCAATGCTCCGTGTCTCTCCCCAAAACCATACCCGAATCCAAGAGGATGGTCTCCCCAGAAAGAGGCAATTCAACACACACACACACACACACACACACGCACACAATGGTGAAAAGCCAGGAGTTAGCTTAGTTATGTGGGAGGTCTCATGTTAAGTCATGTTTTCAGCGTGTATGATCTTCATTTATTTTTCCTTTGAAATGGAAACTTTGAAATGTGTTCTAATCCAAAGTGCATCAGGGAAGGCCCAAGACGGAAAAGCAGGCAGGCACAAACACAGCACCCTTGGTGGACGCACAGATGGAAACACACTTGAGGCATAGGCCTTCGCCATTAACCTCATGTTGCAACATCAGCAGGTCACGGTGCCAAAGACCCCAGTGGGGCAGCCATTACCCTCCCGACTCTCATTCCTGATACAAGATTCCCTAGTGCACTGTCAAAGTTCTATTCAACTCTTTTATGACCTTTGCAAAGTGGAAAAACAGTCATTTCTACAAACCAAAAATGTAGCGGGTCTCTTTCGCACTTCAAGCAAATCACATTTAAAAGCACCTGTGTTGGGGTGCCTGGGTGGCTCCGTTAAAGCTTCCAACTTCAGCTCAGGTCAAGATCTCACAGTTTGTGAGTTCGAGCCCTGCATCAGGCTCTGTGCTGACAGCTCAGAGGCTGGAGCTTGCTTCAGATTCTGTCTCCCTCTCTCTCTGCCCCTCCCCAACTAGTGCTCTGTCTCTGTCTCTCAAAAATAAATGAATGTTAAAAATGCCTGTGCTGGGAGGGTTCCTGCATCCTCAGAGGGCAGAGGCATCTGAAGGCTAGAGGCAAGAGCACCTAGAAATAAGAGCACCTGGAAATGATCCAGGTATCCTGGCCTCAGGAAAAGTGCACAGTGATCCCTGTTCCTTAAGGGCATTGGACACTGGGGATAGATTCCATTCTCACTATGAATGAGAAGCCAGCCAACTTGTCCTCTAATTGTGCCAAGTATCTTTCGTGCCCCGTTAGATGGAGTCTAAGTGATTAATTAGTGGCACCAAGAAGCAGGAACCATGCTCTCACTTTTGACATGTCAAGTAACCCCAAGTGGTTCTTGTGTCCACAGTGGGAATTTGTGTCAGCCTTCCGACAGGCTCAGTGCCAGCAAAATGCCTTGGCCGATGTGAGTGCTGGCATGCGAGTCATTCTTGAAGAAGCCACAGACACCATCAAGGAGCTGAGCCTCTCCTATGGAGGGGTTGGGGAAGCCACAATTGGTGCACATAAATCCTGCCAGCAGCTCATAGGGAGGTAAGCGATGAACCCTGCACCCCAAAGGTGAAACGTGACATCAAAAACAAAGAACAAGTAGAAGTTTGGCTCTGGCAAGGGTTGTTAATGCCCTGGGAAGATGTGAACTCCTATATATAGAATCACTGCTTGTTCTTTCTGCAATTTTGCTTATAAAGCAAACCTCACTTGACTTTGACTAATTAGGGGCTGCTCCTTGGGGAAAGGCCACTACAACAATGACCCATGACTGTGCTCTGCCCCAGTTCTCATGTGCACATCAGCACTCCTACAGACCCACACCAAGCAGGGTCCAAGTGTACCTAGTGCCGCTGCTGTGCGGGGACCTTTTGTTTCTTCCTCAGTAGAGGGCGGTCCGGTTCATAATGGAATTGGCCCTCATGATCTGTTTGTGTAATGTCTGGTTCCAGCATGTTCTGGCCCTTGAACATGCTTGGTTCATGTTGCAATGAAACAGGGCCCATCCTCACCCTGCCATGACCCTCAGGCCACTTGGTGCAGCTTCCCAGGCCTAGATTTTCCTAAAGGGCTTGGTTAGATGATTTCTGAGTTCCCTTCCAACTCATAAAAGGAGACTCCAGGTTCTCTAAATTGTTATTATCCAGTAGCTGGCACATGCCGTATGATCGAGACTGCCCTTTGACTTGTCCCTTTCCCACATCCAACCCCAACAGGCCCTGGAATGAGCCAATGCTGGAGGAAGCTTGCAGGCTGCTTCTGGAAGAGGTCTCCCTCCCAGGCTGGGCTCCAGGGGGAAGAGTGGAATTCAAGAGGACTTTGGTGGTCAGCTTCTTCTTCAAATTCTACCTAGAAGTTCTGCAGGAACTGAAGAAGCTTGCAAAAGTGTCTGTAAGTGTTCTGGCTTTTATGTGCCCCTTGCAGCCACAGCTCCCAGCTTTTCCACTACTTTTGCAAACTGTCTTGTGGGCAGCCTGTGCATGACCTGTCACCTGTTCTGAGTCAGGCCTTGTCAGTTCCCAGCCCTCCTTCCTTCAGGGATTCAGCCCTGAAGGGCTACCACATGAGGCTCAGGATGCCACACTGTCTTCAGTTCACAGATGTTCACTACATGCCCTGAGCAATGAAACGTTACAGTGCCCCTGCCTCCAGTGTGCCATTTCTTTTTCTTTTAAAATCAGCTTTACTGGGGGCACCTGGGTGACTCAGTGGGTTAAGCATCTGACTCTTGATTTTGGCTCAGGTCATGATCTCACAGTTTGTGAGATCAAGTCCCACATTGGGCTCTGTGCTGAAGGTGCAGAGCTTGCTTGGGATTCTCTGTCTCCCCCTTCTCTGCCCCTTCCCCTGCTTGTACTCTCTCTCTCTTTCTCTCAATCCCTCTCAAAATAAATAAACAATTTAAAAAATAATAAAATCAACTTTACTGAAATATAATTACATGTAATAAAATGCACCTATTTATACTCAATGAGTTTTAACAGATGTGTAAACCCATGTAGCCACCACCTCAAACAAGGTATAAAGCATTTTCATCACCCCAAAAAGTACCTTTTGGCCTCCCACCCCTGCCCCCAGGCAACCACTCATCTGCTTCATGGCAGATTAGGTTTGCCTATTCTAAAATTTAATATTCAACATAAAATGTAAAATAAAATTTTATTTTTCAAAATATACTAAAATTTTATTTGTATGCAAATATTTAAGTGGCTTCTTTCTAGATTTTTTTTTTTTTTTGTATACTTCTGGAATAAGTTAAGCAAGGCAAAACATTCTCTTTCTCTCCCTCTCTATTTCCTTCCCAGACCAGGATTATAACCCTCGCCCTACCTCGTACCCCCTGTTTCAAACCACACCCTACCCCAACACTCCTCAAGTCACCTCAAGTGTTCAATTTTCATTACGCGGACGTAGACCCTGACCAACCACATCCACCAGGGTAATAATCACTGCCATTTAATTTCGGAATCAAGACATTTGGTATGTTTCAGACACCCAGAGAGCCTTCTCAATTTTACTGATGAACTGCTGAGTTGCTGAGAAAAACAAGCAGGATGTGGGCTCTTTTGTGTACAGTGAACTCCAGCTCATTCTGGGATGGCATCTCTGTCCCCCAGTGTTCCAGCTTGTCCTGCCTTTACCCAGCTCACTGACAGGCCTCTCCCTCCTCTGGGTGGCTAGGGGATCAGATTCAAACCAGTCCATCCAGTTCCTCAGTATGTGGAAAGGGAGGGAGGGCAAGACACCTTCATAAAAAAGGAGACCCCGGGGAGATGATGTAGATTTTGGTCTTCCAGGATACCCTGGCCTTTCAGTTTCTTGGATACCTCAACTAAGTCATTTTCACACAAGCCAAAGCCCAGTTTAATCATAGACTAATTGGTTTATCTTTATTGTTTTGAATGGTCTTTCAGGACAGTCATCATTATCCTGAAATTTCAGACCGATTCCTAAGTGCTCTAGAAGATTTCCCTGTCACAGGACCCCGGGGAGTCCAAAGGTACCAGGTCAGTGAGTATAATGTAACAGGAACGTAGAAACTAAGAGATAAGCTATAGTTATGTGAACAAAGCAAGCACTTCAGAGTTGTGATTCATAGTTCTGACTTTCTAGTTTAGGCTGGCACATTGCCCTTTGTTTAGGCCAAGTCAGGGAGACGCTGGATCTAAGATCGGGCCTGAGCTACCATGACACACACTCAAGGCTGAACCAACCTGGAATGGTTTGACCATCTGACTAATCATTGATAGTATCTTGGAATGCATGTTCTTTGGGCATTTGTTTTAAGAGCACCCAAGCCAGGTATGGGGGAAGGACTGAATAAGAGGGTAGCAAGATTCAGCCTCCAGCCCTGGTTGCAAATATCTCATCTCCAGTCAGCAAAACAAGGACCTTGCCAGTACCTGAACCCACCCTTCTTGAAGGACAATTTAGAAAGTATCTATTATTGTCTGTTAGCACAAAACCCCTCTCCCACCCCATCTCTACACATACCCCCCCCCCCACACACACACACCACAGAGCTTCCCTGAAAAGAATTCCAAAATAAACACTTTCTCCAACTTCTTATCCTCCCAGTGATGTTTTTGAGCCACTTACAGGGGCAACCAAGGCACTGTGGTCTAGATCTGGGTGGACTCCATTGCCATTTGCTCCCCTCCCCTCTCCCCTGCCCCAGGCACTACTCAAATTGACACTCAAGCTTTTAGCTTAGATTTTGGTTCCCCACCCTCTGGAATTATATCACTTTAGACTTCATCATCTTGATCACTTTCTATGTAAACAGTTTAGTCATGGAAAAGGTAAGAAAGCTGGACAAGGAGAACCTCTGAATTCCAGAACAAAGCAGTACAGGGGCACAACTTGGGAAAAGAAAATGCCAAAAGGAGAGGCTAGGATGCCCTTTCACCTACTTCACAGTTCTGCCAAAAAGTTGGCATTGCTACATAACTGACAGGACAATTCCCCAGTCTAGTGACATCATTGAATTTTTGCACTTATCATCTGACCCACTCCAGTGTTTGTGGTCTCAGGGTGACTGATTTCTCAATCCTGAATCAAGAGTGTTGGTAATCATCCAGGCCACTTGTGAAGATTTGAATTGTCCAGGGCAATTCTTGTCTCCCTCTGCAGAGTGTGGATTCTCACCAGTCCCTCCAAGATCCAGTTGGACGCCCCATCATGCACCTGTCAGGTCTTAAACATGCTACAGGTGAAGCCATATTTTGTGATGACATCCCTATGGTGGATAGAGAACTTTTCATGGTTTTGGTGACCAGTACAAAAGCCCATGCAAAAATCATGTAAGTAAATGGAAAGCTTTCAAAAAAAACTTTTAAAAGCACACCTGTGGATTCCCTCTGAGGAATGTACCTGTTATGCCATGTCCTAAACCCAAAGAACCTAAAATTGAAAGAAGAAAGAAAAGGGCACCATCCCCAGCAGGAGGAAGAGAGGGTATCTGGAAATGACCATTATGAAAAAGAGAACAAAAATAGTTATGGGCTCCTTGCTTCTCTTCTAACCTCATTACACCTCATCTCCCTGCTGTAGCCTCAGTCATGGCTCAAAGGAGTAATTCTGAGTAGGGCTGATACTCAGCTGTTGATAAAACCCTGAAATACTGCATTTCTGAAGGGCTAATGCCTACTGTCCTAAGCTTCCTAAGAATTTCCCTTGCCACAGCCACACAGCCCCTCCCCCAGGTCCTCTCCTATAGTTAAAGTGTTACCCCTGACCCAGCAGGCAGCCTTCTGGACCATATGGCAGGTTAGCTTTTATTGGTCGGGACCTATGCTGGACAGTTGTTATATATTTTTTATTTTCAACCATGTTCTATCCTTTCCTCAGGTCTGGGGCCCTCAAAGCTTGCTGATTTCTACTTCTTAAATATTTCTCTTTTTTCAGATCAATTGATTTGTCTGAGGCCCTTGAACTACCTGGGGTGGTTGATGTGATAACAGCTGAGGACATTCCAGGCACCAATGGTGCCGAGGATGACAAATTGTTGGCTGTAGATGAGGTACAGAGCATGCTTTCTCAGATGACTTTGTGCAGATAATCACAAAGTTACCACCTCCAGCTGGTTTTCAATCCCGCCCCCCACATTGCGGGACGGACAGAAGTGCCGATTCTTACAGCTTCTCTCTACACCTAAAATCTTTATTCAGACAGACTTAAATCTTCTGGAGTCAGGAAATTACACAGTAAAAGGGAAATAATAAACATACAGAAAAACAAGTTCTAGTTTTCCCACTGTGTGCTCTTGAGTCAATTTACCCTCGTCTAAAGAATAAATGTAGGAACTGCCTGTATCAGGATAGAATATGCTAGAAAGACCTAAAAAGGAGAGTGCAAAAAATACAGCCACTCCCTGTTTTCTGTATTAAACTCTCTCCTTTCCTAAACCAACCCCATGCAGACACACCCCCACCCCACCCCTCACTTACTTTTACACATTCCATTTGTAATAAAGTTGCTTTTCCCACCTTTGACATTTTAATTCAACTCTACAAACATTCACTGAATACTTGCTTTTGGAGCCAGGCTAATTTGGTTCATGTTCCATCTCTACCACTCACTAGCCATGTGCCTTTGGGTATCATTACCTGGAAAATGGGAACAATCACTGCACCAATCCCATGGTGTTGTGGGATCTAAAAGAGTTAATGCACGTAAATTGCTTACAACGGTGTTTGGCACATGAAGGCTCTCAGTAGGTGTTAGCTATTATTGTCACTTCTCAATGAGTCACACAGACTGTTTCTCCTCCAGCCATGAAATGGCTCACTGTTCTTTTGGTTGAACTCCAGATGAAGAGGTCAGTTGTTATTTAAGAGCTATATCATCTGCTCAGGCTGCCATCACAAAATACCACAACCTGGGCCACTTTTAAAAAAGCAGAAATTCATTTTCTCACAATTCTGGTGGCCTATCACCCAAGATCAAGGGTTTGGTTTCTCCTGAGGCCTCTCTTCCTGGTTTGCAGGTGGCTGTCTCCTCACTGTGTCCTCTCATGACTTTTGTCTGAGGATGAGCCTCCCTGGTATCTCTTCCTCTTCTTATAAGGACACAGTCATATTGGATTAGAGCTCCACCCTTATGACCTCATTTAATCTTAATTACCCCACTGAAGGCCCTATCTCCAAATACAGTCACACTGGACATTAAGGCTTCAACATTTGAATTTGGGAAGAAGGAGGGAACACAGTGCAGCTCATAACAGGGATGATATTGTACAAGAAACACTTTCCTTATCTTTAAACTCTAAAATGATAAATGATACCATAAATATGATACATGTGAACCAAGCTTGACAGAGGACACAGCACATTCAGGTCACAACCAATCTCACATCCACTCTGGAGCTTACATTCATTGAGTAAAATGGCCAATGGAATCATCTGTATTCTTTAAATTATTTTTTTAATTAAAACATTTTAAGCCAAGCACATATAGTTGAATGTGACCTCCAATGTGGCCTTATTGACAAACAATAATAACAAAGATACCAGCCACTGATAAGGGTGAAGTAAGACTATTCCTACTGATATTTTTCTACCTGCTTCATGCATGTACTTTCCGCAGGTGCTTTGCGTGGGCCAGATCATCTGTGCTGTGGTTGCAGAGACAGATGTACAGGCAAAGAGAGCAATTGAAAAGATACAGATCACCTACAAAGATCTGGAGCCCATAATCTTCACCATCAAGGTAAGCAGTGCTGGCTGGTTTCTTTCCTGTAAAGTTGTAGAATCAAAAACACCCTTGTAAATTTCTTAATGCAACACTAATTCTAATTTTTTCTTGCCACTGGCTTGCCCTGGAAAGATCAGCTTCCTCTGGAAGATATTATTTGTATGAATTGAAATTAGCTTTGGCTCTAAGAAATGACAGGGGTGGGGTGGGGTGGAGAAACAAACGAAGAATTGAAGTTTCTTTCTCTTTCACATTCACAAAGTCTAGAAAAGATCAGTCCAGGGCTTATGTAGGGTTCTATGTGTCAGGGATCTTGGATCCTTCTATCTAGTCACTGCTTCAAGCATGGTTTCTACCCTCTAGGTCACACTTTGCTCCACAATGGCTGCTGAAGCTTTGGCTATTAAGTTCGCATTCCAGACAGCAAAGAGAATGAGGTGATGAAGAAGGGCATATCCCATCCCTTTAAGGACACTTCCCATAATCTCACTGGTTAGCACCTAGTCAGATACCACACCTCAAGGGGAGCTGGGAAATGTAGACTTTATCCCAAGTGACTACATGACCACTAAAAATTGGGGAAGAAAGAGGATGAGAATGGATATTGAGAACAATCATGTTTTCAAGGTGGGCCTCCAAAACGGTGGGACTTTCATGATGGAATTCCACAGAAATTTCAACTCTTACTTTTGGGTCTAGCTGAACGAATGCAAATGCTATTACCAGAGCAGAAAGAATGAAGTTAGAATAGAAAATTCAGATGTGGAGTGGGATTTTCAGGTTCTAACTCAATGAAGGGCAAGTTCAGAGTAACTGAGTTGCAAAAAGCTTTCTTATTTGTGCACTTGTAATAGAAAATAAATTTTTTTCAAAGGCCCCAGTGAACCATTTGACATTTTTTAAATGTGCCTAAAAGGCACAACTTGCTCAATAGTCAAAGTATTAAAAAGGTCATGTTTCTTGATCTTTCTAAACCAAATCAATTCTGTTCCAAATTCCCATTTTGCCAAGTTTGCAAGAAGTCCAGACCATTTTTCTTGGCTCAGTATCCCTCCTGGGGTTGTACTAGGATCCTAACCTCAGTTTTTGAGATTTCAATCCTAATCCCATTTCCTCAAGGGGGAAATAGTACCCAGAAGAAAAACCAGGAAATATCCTGGGATTCAGAATGGTTAGAGATCTGCAGTTCTCTCAGAATAGGACTGTCCAGAGTCAGCTAAAAATTTCTTTTGTGAATAGAGTATATAACAAAATAGTTATACATACCAATATTTGTTTACCCATCCATTCATTCATTTATTTAAATGACTGTAGGTATGAGAGGCTGTAAGGGTAGTGGCTAAAACTACAGTTTCTAGAACCAAACTGCTAGGTTTGAATCCTGGCTGCATCACTTAGGTAAATTCATTAACCTCTTTAAGCCATGGTTTCTTCATCTGTAAAATGGGGATAATACTAATAATCACCTGTTCCCTGGAAATCCACACTGAAAATGAGAAATGAGTATTTATCATCATGGGCCATCATAGCATCCCCAGATCTCAATTCTTAACATTTCTCTACTCCTTGTTGGTTTTCCCTGCACTTTAGAAGACATCCTTCAGACACCCATCTTGTCTCTGCCATGAGCCCACTACTCCAGTACTCCCTTGCTTGATGACTTCCTTCATGTGTCCCAGTAGATGGCTATTTTGGGGAGTTTACTGGCCTTTGACTAAGAAACAAAATGTCAATGGAAGAAAAGAAAATTTTAATTGGGTTATTCCTATCATTTAGGATGCCATAAAGCACAACTCATTCCTATGCCCTGAAAAAAAACTTGAACAAGGAAACATTGAGGAGGCATTTGAAAAAGTCGATCAAATTGTTGAAGGTAAGCAATTCAGGATATTTAATAGAATCTTTGCATGATTCTGTTCCAAAGCAGACACTGAGAGCATGTGATTTCCTAAGAAAGGGCATCCTCTAAATACTCAGCACTTTGCCAAATTTCTCTTATATCTCTTCCTCTCAAATTGTGAGTGTGGGTGTGGGGGTATTATGTGTGTTGCCTTTAGAGGTGGTGGGCAGGGAGCAACAGAATAAATAGAAGAAAAATCCTTAGCACTTTGGTTAGTTAAGGACGGAGGAATGGAGCCAGACCCTTCCAACTTGTTATACAAAACTATGGTATCTGAAACAGATTGCCTTTAGTTGCCACAGAACAAATGCCTGATCCATCAATTCCTTGGTCAGGACAAATCCAGACTGGTCAGTCCACATCTTACTTGCTTTGGAATTCCTCAACATGGTAGTTTCCAATCAACACACACTCTCAGGAATTTCCCTTTGCTTGCACTTAACAGGAGAGGTCCATGTTGGAGGCCAGGAACATTTCTACATGGAAACACAAAGAGTGATTGTTATTCCAAAGGCAGAGGACAAAGAACTGGACATTTATGTATCAACACAGGATCCAGCCCACGTGCAGGTGAGGTCCAGGATCGCCCTTACGTTTCCAACTTCCTAATTTCGTCATGGCACTCAATCCCCATAGGCTCACAGTTGGTAGCCATTTTTCCTGTAGAAACTTGATGTCCAAATATTGGACATCAGTGGAACAGCTAAGATACCAGAATTCTTTTATTTTTTTCCTGGTCTTGTCAAGTAAGTATAAGAACAGCTGAGGTGAAGGGGATTCAGAGCACACTTATCCTGGTGACCACTGAGTAATGTATAGAATTGTTGAAACACTATATTCTACGCCCGAAACTAACATAACACTGTGTTAACTATATTGGAATGAAAATTAAATAAAATTAATAAAATTAAACTTAAAAAAGAAAAAGAACAACCACAGTCACTTCAGATTTAAAGAATACATTCATTTGCAGCATGCCTAAATGAGCTCTGTGATTGGATAACACTAAATTATATCTGCACTTGCTTTTTCTCTAAATAATAATTACAGATAGCCTTTGGAGTAAACACATCACTTTACAGTACATTTTCATTATCCCAGTCTCAAAGTGCTCTAGGTTTTAGCTGCAAACATCTTCTTTACTAACTTGTCAGGAGTTTGCTGATTTTCACTTTGTTGGAACATACATCTAGGCATTTGGCTAGGATTCCAGCTCTGACAGGAATCTAGGACTCTGACAGTTTCCTTTCTGGAAAATACTATTTTTCTGCTAGAAAGGCTGTCCTGTAAGATTGATGATGTTTATGAACTCAACAGAGCTCTCTGCAACACAGATTTACATTATCTTAGTTTGGGTTTTGTTTTTGTTTTTGTGTTCTGACAGTAGGTGTGGATGAATATTGCTGTGATGTTTCAGGCAACAAAAGGCTTCTTTGCCATTTCTTGTAAAACTTTTTCACTATCTTTCACAGAAAACAGTGTCCTCTACTTTAAATATCCCCATCAACAGGATCACCTGTCATGTCAAGCGGGTGGGTGGAGGTTTTGGCGGAAAAGTAGGAAGACCAGCTGTATTTGGGGCTATTGCTGCTGTGGGTGCTATCAAGTAAGTGCACTTGGGGATACAAGAGGGTGTAAAACGTGCAGAGCTAAGGGCAAATCCGTGGACTGAGAGTGACTTGACTGCTGTCATAACTACCTGAGTGTCCTTGGGCAACTCAGGCTCCTGTCTCTTTTTCTTTATAATTATAGATATAATACTCACCTTCCTAGATTGATTGGAAAAGTCAAATGCACCTAGGACTTGAAACAGGCTATAAAAAAGAAAAGTGATATTATTTGTTAAACAGCTCCAAGGCTGAGGCTGCCCTGTCCCTGAGCTTCAGGAAAGGTGACCTATTTAGGAGTGGGGCAAGTCTCCTGCCTAAGTGGAATGCCAAGGGGGAGGCTCCTCCCCCACTTTCCCTTCCTACTCTAGCTGCAGTCAGGGTGGCATGAGGAAAGAAAGACTCCCACCCTCTGCCTCTCTGCACCTGGAAGGGCTGGCTAGTCAATGTTTGCTTAATGATAGATGATATCCTCAAAGAGAGTTCCCAGGCTAACTCAACCAGAAGGCTTGCTCCTTTGCTGTTCATGTTGTTCAAGTTGCTGGCTTTTCTGTTTCTTGTTCATTTTCTATGGCTGTTTCTTGGTAGTTACAAAGTATTGTCAGAGCCCCAATCAGCCTGCAAAGTTCAAAGGTCCTGCTTCCTTTGACAAATTCTGTGTAGTTCAAAGCTAGGTCCTAAAGCACTCAGATGTGTGTCTCATTCTGCAACAAGAGACAGGAAATCACAAGATCTGAATCCCATCTCCACTTCTTTCCATAATGAACGTCTCTATTCATACCCACCAAGTACCCAGAAGGGTTCATCGGTTCATCATACTCCCCACAAGCTTTGTGCCTTTAAGACTTCTCAAGCATTACTGCACAGTAGAATCATCTGGTGAGCATTTAAGTCCCAGTGCCTAGGCTGTCCCATCCAATTCGGGCATCAGTATAGTTTAAAACTAACCCAGTAGTTCCACTGTGCAGCCAAGTGGGGCAACCAGTGCCTTAAGCTAAAACCCCACCTTAGCACACATCTGGCATGCATTAAGTAGTCCCCAGAGTAGCATTCCCAGACTGGTGATAATAAGAGTCTCCTAGGGATGCCTGAATGGCTCAGTCAGTTGAACGTCCTGGGCTCGTGATCTCGTGGTTTGTGAGTTCAAGTCCAGCCTGCAGCTTGCTGCTGTCAGAACAGAGCCTACTTCGGATCCTCTGTACCCGCCCCCCTCTGCCTCTCTCTCTCTCTCTCTCAAATAATAATAATAATAATAATAATAATAATAATAATAATAAATGCCTCCTATGCTTGTAGAAATTCCTGCCTCCCCACCTCAGACCCACTGAATCAGAAGCACCAGAGAGTAGACACAGAAACTTTACATTTAACTGATGCTCCAGGTAGTCGTCACCATTTAAAAAAAAACCAAACAAACAGGAAACCTTGTGCCAGAATTGTAGTTTTCAACGTGTACCTGAAAGTACCTCATAAGAATTACTGAGAAAAATGCCAATTCTGAGTCCCCTCCCTACATGTACTGAATGAGAGTCCTAGTGCTAAGGTTCAGGAATCTGCATTTTTGTCAGCATGCCAGACTATTCTTCTACACTCCGAAGTATGGGAACTACTGCCCTGGAGATACAGAAAGGCTGAAGCTCCTAGCTACCCAAGGGCCCAACTTGTCCAGCATAATAGCATTCCTGGGTGAAAATGAAAATGCTAACCCAGCATCCTAAAGACAAGTACTTGGCCTTGTTTTTACAGTTGTGTTAAGTATGCATTTATCTATTCACATTCTTTCAACTTTGTAACTCATGGTGGAGATATGCAGCGTGGCTGGATCTGGGTGAGCATGAAATCTGAAGCCTTAAGAACACAAGTTAACTGGCATGTGACATTAATCACTTTAGCTAGATCTCCAACTATTGAGTTATAGGCTACAGAAACAGTAGTAGTTTAGTCATATATTAATTCAGACCAGTGCCTAGCTTATTGTATGCACTCAGGGAATATATATGGGATGGATGGATGGTTAAATGAATGGCTGGATAAATGGGTGGGAGAACGCATGCAGGATAGATGGGCAGAAAGGTAGATAGATGGATGGTTGGGTAGATAATTAAGTGAGGGGTTGAATAAATAGGTGGGTGGGTGCTAGATGGGTAGATGGATGAATAGGGGAATGGATGAATGGGTGGGTGGAATGGGTAGAGAATCTAAGATTTGTTTTCTTTAGAACTGGTCGTCCCATTCGTCTTGTTCTTGATCGTGAAGATGATATGTTAATAACTGGGGGAAGACACCCATTATTTGGAAAATATAAAGTGAGTATTAAACTTGAAACTATTAAAATACCTCATTTTAAGAGACTCTTAAATACAGAGAACAAATTGAGGGTTGCTGGAGGGGTTTTGGGTAAGGGGATGGGCTAAATGGACAAGGGGCATTAAGGAGGACACTTATTGGGATGAACACTGATTGTTATATGTAAGTGATGAATCACTAAATTCTATTCCTGAAGTCATTATTACAATATATGTTAACTAACTTTGATGTAAATTATAAATAAAATAATAAGAAGAAAAAGATTTTAAAAATACCTCATTTTATTTTGGTGGTTTTTATCATTTTCTATTATTTTGATTTTGCTAAATTCTAAAAACAAACAATAATCTTATCTAAAATATTAAATGAAAAAAATAATTAAAATAAATAAAATAAAATATTAAATGAGTGGGACACCTGGGTGGCTCAGTAGGTTAAGCATCTGACTCTAGGTTTCAACTCAGGTCATGATCTCATGGTCCGTGAGATAGAGTCCCACATCAGGCTCTGCTACTTGGGATTCTCTCTCTCCCTTTCTCCCTCTCTCTCTACCCCTCTCCTGCTCACACGCTCTCTCTCGCTCTCTCTCAAACATTTGAATTCTCACAAATTTTATGAGGAACTTTTAATACATCTAGTATAGACTGGATGATAAAAATACAATTTCAAATGATAAAAACATTAATGAAGGAATAAGATTTTTGTTAGTGGTTCCCCAAAGACAAAAAAATGAAAGAAGCTACAAACATTTGTTATACCAAAACTTCTTGACTATTAAAATATTTTGCATTTGAAATGTTTGGAGACAATTTTACCATTTTAACTACATAATCATTTTTACAAGTGTTTCGGCCAAATTGTTGTGAAAGTGTTACAAAAGTTCCTTGCAAATGGGAAAAAAAGTATCCATTAACAATGAAATAATTTTAAATTGTTTCAAACCAGGCTCATTGCATTTTATACAACTATGGCATAAATACCATTAAAAACACTGCTGACATTTGAGGTGCCTGGGTGGCTCAAGTGGTTGAGCATTGGACTCTTGATTTTGGCTCAGGTCATGATCCCAGGGTTGCTAGATCAAGCCCCATGTAGTGCTCCACACTGAGCATGGAGCCTGCTTAAGATTCTCTCTCTCTGTCCCTCTGCCCCTTTCTTGCTCTCTCTCTCTCTCAAAAAATAAAAATAATAAAATAATAAAAAAAATTCTGTTAACATCTAGTTGACAACAATAGTACTTTTCAAATCTGTGACCGAGTTTTTAGGATAGTTCTAATGTAATGTTTCTATTCAAATGTGTTCTATCTGGGAATTATTTATAGTGTATGTATAGCTAGATTTTCTACCTGAGGTTGTCATTGCCTTAGATTACTAAATTATTATATTTCCTGAATTATAAATCCATACCACAGCACCATTTAATTTCTTCCATTGGCATTAGTAATTTTTATAATTAGAGAGAAAAGGAACACAGTTGGCCATTAAAATTTTTATTTGCCTTCAAATGCAAAGAAATGAATATTCACAACTGTTGTTATCTTCTAGTACCAAGAACAATGTAGAGCCACATTCTGGGACTGAGGCAGTTTGTGTTGTTATGGTGGTTGTTGAGTTCTTTGGTTTTGGCCCATTATAAATCAGGCTTTATTTATGTTACAGTTGTGAGACTGTTTTAGTACTAGTACTTATTTAGAAGGTTCTAGATGTTGAATATTTTGGTAATTATGGTAATATAAAATATGACTAAAATGAGGAAAATATACTTTGGAAAATCCAACTTTTATTTTATTTTTAGAGAAATATAATTTTACTTTCAATGTAGTAATATATGTGTGTGTGATGTGTGTGTATGTAGATGGATGGAAGGATGGATGGATGGATAGATAGAGATCCTCATTCAAACCTAGCTAACACAGTTTTGCTCAGTTTTTCACAGCTATTTATAAATTAGCATAATAGATGTTTATGTGTGAATAAGTTCTTCCAAAATTCTTAAAAATTTTAAACAGTTTAATAGTCTAAGAGCTATTCTGCTTAGCAATTGTTTCTTCATGAAAAGTAAAAGGTAAACTTCAGCCTAGCATTTGTCAAAATTACCGTGAATTCTGAATTTGTGGATTTTCCTGCATGTGCTCAGGTTTGTTATCCAGTATTTCCATAGGTGATAGTAACCAAAAAGCTGTGCCCATTTTCAGAAAGGCAAAGGGACCAGGGCCAATCCTTTTCTGGTAGAACTACCACAGTCTTTTCAGTCTGTGCTGTGCAGACCAACTGGTCTAGGTGGGTGGGAAGAGAATGACAACTTCAGAAAAATACAGAGTGCTTCTTTGAGTCCCAAAAAGAACAGCATAACTAGTTCACATTTGTTACATCCTTAACCAATCACAAAGCACTTCCTCAGCTCCCTAAAATGGGAGCAGCCATTCTCCTATCCATTCCCCAGCATCTGCTTCTGAGATGCACTGTGATTCATTCCCACGCACTCTGGAATTACAGAGACTTTTCCACAAGGGGGAGAAACCGCAGACTAAATTCGAAGGAAAACTAGTAAAAAGTGAAGGAGAATCTGCCAGAAATAAGGAAGAAGAGGGTAGCAATTATATACCAGGAGGCAAGCAAGGACTTTGGAATTCCACACTGACTGCAAAGCCGGGAAATCACATGTTGAAAGGAAAGGCTCAGCAAAATCCAGATCAGAGGAGGTCTTTATCAGCCAAGCACTGAAAATCAAGGGGATAGCCAGGTGTGGCACACCACCAAGCAAACAGGAGCAGAGTCTGTCTTCAATCCCACCCAGTAGTGGAGCTGGGCTGTGACTTGAACTTGGCATGTTAATTTTAAACAGATCATAAAATGTCCATCATCTGGTGACAGGTGGGATTCATGAACAATGGGCGAATCAAAGCTCTAGACATTGAGTGTTTCATTAATGGAGGATGCACACTGGATGACTCTGAGCAGGTATGTGCATCAGAAACTAGCACCATCCCTAATCATGAATAGAACGCAGAATTTCTAGGTGAGTCTTTATGGAGCATGTTTCTTCAACTACTTATCAAGTTCCACAAGCAGTTAGACTGTACTTGATTTTACAAAAAAAAAAAAAAAAAAAAAAAAAAAAACAATGCCTGATATATATATATATATTAATATCTCCTTTTACTTTAGGTAACAGAATTTCTTATATTAAAGCTGGAAAATGCATATAAAATCCACAACCTTCGATTCCGGGGCCGGGCATGCATGACAAATTTACCATCCAATACGGCCTTTCGCGGATTTGGCTTCCCACAAGGAACCCTGATAACAGAATCTTGCATCACAGCTGTGGCAGCCAAATGTGGCCTTCTGCCAGAAGAGGTAAGGTTGTAATCAAGGTCATAACCAAGGTTAGTGAAGAATCAGATGAGGTAGGGAACCATAGAAATTGAAAAACCATAGAAGAACCACTCAAATTAGTCCTGGTTCAGAATTCAATATAAATTAAATGCTACCTGAAGGAAATGACTCCACTATCTTCCTACCTCCTTATGCAAAAAGCTTTCTGGTTCTTTCTTTTTTCTAATTTGTACAAAAATAATTACTTTTTGTTTTTAAAGTTTATTTTATTTATTTTGAGGGAGAGGGAGAGAGAGAATCCCAAGCAGACTCTGCACTGTCAGCATGAGCCCAACCCAGGGCCCAAAAAGTGGGGGCACCTAGGGGCGTCTGGGTGGCTCAGTCGTTAAACATCTGACTTAAGCACAGGTCATGATCTCGTGGTTTGTGGGTCCAAGCCCCGCGTCGGGCTCTGTGCTGACAGCTCAGAGCCTGGAGCCTGCTTCGGATTCTGTGTCTCCCTCTCTCTCTGACCCATCCCCCACTCATGCTCTGTGTCTCTCTCTCTCAAAAATAAATAAACATTAAAAAGATTTTTTTTTTAAATGGGGGCACCTGGGTGGCACAGTTGGTTGAGCATCTGACTCTTGATCTTGGCTCAGGTCATAATCTCATGGTTCGTGAATTCTAGCCCTACATTAGGCTCTGTGCTGATGGTGCCGAGCCTGCTTGGGATTCTGTCTCTCCCTCTCCCTCTCTCCCTGCCCCTCCCCTGCTTATGTTCTCTCTCACTCAAAATAAGTAAATAAAATTTAAAAACTAAAAAAAAAAAAAAACTTTTAAAAAAGAATAAAGTAAATAAGTAAAGTAAAAAGTGAATGTCCCCTTCTTCATTCCATCATCCCTATTAGTCAAGGACAACCATTGTTAATGGTTCTATGTTTATTGTCCCAGCCCTCTGTATTCATACACACATACATAAACAAACATAAATATTTATATATAATATATATGTACATAGACAGTTATTTACCAAAATGAGACTATGATAAACATATTATTCTGCACCTTACTTTTTCTGCTTGACAGTAGGCCATGACCATCTTCCTGTGTCAGCAGAATGAACCACTTCATTCTTTTTCATAACTGAATAGTATTATGTAACGTGGACTTACCATGATTTATTTAGGCACCCCACTATTGATATACATTTATGTTGTCACCCATTTTTGGCTATTGAAATGATGTTGCGAGAAACATCTTGGTACACACATACCAAAATATAGATGTATTTTTGCTCCATTGTATATATCTTTAGGATAAATTTATTGAAAACTTTTAAGAGATACACTGCCAAAAGAATGCCCTCTAAAAATATTATTTTGTACAGTATCCTAGAAGGTGCACAGTATACACAGGATGCTAAGGCAGAGAGAGGCAGCCACTGGCAATTGAGATAATTATTAATAACACTTTTTTGCCCCTCACACATTTCAAGTAGACCCCAGCCTACATTTTATGCTTCTTTTTCATTTCCCCAATATAGTCCATCTGCTCCAGAAAGCCCTCTCTATATAATGCCCTTTGAACCCCTTTGCCACTAAGTTCAACAGAGAGGACGACTGGGTTTGTGATTATCAGGGTACTTCTGCACACAAGAGAACACCTACATATTGTACAAGGAAGACAATAGTTATCCTCAGAGAAGTCACATAAAGTGTTCTATGGGTACAAAGGAGGAAGACATCACTTTGGCTTGAGGGGAGGAGAGTCAGGAAGAACTTTCCAGAGAAGATGACACTTAAGATAGGCCTTAAAGAATAATAGGCACAGATAATGGGAAGGTAATCCAGGCAAATGCAACAACTTGAACAAGGAAAGTCAACCTCTTTGTGGTTCAGTTTCTTTATCTATACAATGAGGACATTGTGACTCACTACATAGATTTCTGCAAGAATCAAATGAGTTAGCACTTCGTTTTCATAAACTGGATAGTATTTGTTTTCGTAAACTGAATAGTATTTGTTTTCATAAACTGGATAGTATTATTCTAATGTTACCGTTGATAATAATAATTCTTTTATTGTTACTAGAGTGAAATGCGGATAATGAAAATTTCCAGAGTGTATCTCAGTAGGCTTCTTTCCTTGTCAAGTCTTTTTTTTTTTTTTTTTTTTTTTAAATTTTTTTTTCAACGTTTATTTATTTCTTGGGACAGAGAGAGGCAGAGCATGAACGGGCGAGGGGCAGAGAGAGAGGGAGACACAGAATCGGAAACAGGCTCCAGGCTCCGAGCCATCAGCCCAGAGCCTGACGCGGGGCTCGAACTCACGGACCGCAAGATCGTGACCTGGCTGAAGTCGGACGCTCAACCGACTGCGCCACCCAGGCGCCCCTCCTTGTCAAGTCTTGCAGGCTTCTAGGACATAGGACACACCCATATCCAAATACATTTTTAAAAAGATTTGACCACACCTTCCAAAGTCAATCAGAAGGCTTAGAGAAGATCTGATATTTGTTATTAGCTGCAATGCAATTTCCTCTCTATCAGAACAAATCTTCAGTTATGACAATAAATCCTTGCTTTTATATACAATCTACCAACTCTTCTTCATCCTCTGAACATTGTAGGAAAAAAAGGAATATCTGCTTTTTTTCAGCCCCTCCTTCCTAGTGCCCTTCAGGGGCCAATTACTACCCCTAACCTCAGGTAGGGAGAAGCCCTGACTGGTACGTTAGAGAAGAGATGAGAAATAACCCCCATTAGTTTTGCAAAACCACATGCTGTTCAAAGAAAGAAGATACACCCTGTCTTCTCCCCACCAAAGTTTGTTCTTCTTAATGGGGAAGCTTTTCAAGTATCTATTTTGCTGTCAGTTTCTATCTTACCATAACTATTGACTCAGCTTCTCACCCATTTCAGATTAGGGAGAAGAACATGTACAAAACAATTGATAAAACCATCTACAAACAAGCATTCAGCCCCGAGACCCTGATAAGATGTTGGAATGAGTGTCTGGACAAGTCTTCCTTTCATAGCAGAAGAATACAAGTGGAAGAGTTTAACAAGAAGAATTATTGGAAAAAGAAAGGCATTGCAATTATCCCCATGAAGTTTTCAGTCGGCTTTGCTGCAACAAGCTATCATCAGGTAAAGCTTTTATATGTGGAAAATAACCCTCATGTCAGATGCACTGCTACCCCAATCAGCTGTTGGTGATTTTGGGAGAGTGTCATATGTCCCAGGCACTGAGCCCCTCCCTCCCTCAGCATCTGGGAGAAATGTACAGAACTCTCCTGAGCAGCCCCCTCTCTGCAAGCACATTCAACACAGTGTAGTAGAAAAATGTCTCAGTGGCAGAAAATGGCATCAGCAAGCCTGAGAACTGCCCCAGCATAACAGCCAAGACACAGCAGTGACCATGACCATCATCACCTCACCCAACCCTGAATCATCCCTATTCTAAAGGGAACAAGAGCCCACAAGGCCCATTGTGTTGAGCTTTCTGAGCCCAAGGTTATGGCTTAGGCAGGAAGGAGGCCTCTCCTGGTCTGTGCCCCCAGATATCTCAGTTCTCCTCAATACCCCCAAGTCTAGGCAGAGAAGTCACTGCATGTTGCCCTGACCAGCTGGCTGTTTTGAGCCACTTCTCCCAGGAATATGTGTCATTTCTGATGGGGAAATAGGGAAGTGTGGTCCAAAAATCCTTCCAGGTAGATTTGCAAAAGGAAGAGGCAGGTCATTCAGAGGCCCTCTCCAGAAGGTGAGGAGGAAAGGTGGCAAATAGATGAGACCATTAAATAACACAAGACTGGTACAGACAAGTCTTCCCAGCAATCCCAATGGGTCAAATGTGGGAAAGCTGTCTAGAAAACTGGGAAATGTTGCCTCCCATTATTTTCCACCAGAAGCAGAGACTCTGCAACTGAAGAGATCTTATATGCATTAGATCTAAATCTAAATCTAAAAATGCACTAGATCTCCCTTGTGTGTATATCACTGAAAGCATGTTTCCATTTACATCCAACTACTAGCAGCCAATAGACACACACACACATGCACACACCACAAAAGCTGCCCTGTCCAAGGAAATCCTTCTTAGGGAATAAAGAAGTTGCCCCCAAACCCTAATTAACTGGAGTCAGGTGGACCTGAGAAATCCTTGCCCTGCCACTTACTAGCTGAGTGATATCAAGCAAATTATTTAACCTCTTTGAGCCTCAGCTTCCTTAATTATATAATGAGAATAATAATCCTTTCTCTTAGGATTGATAAGGATTCAAAATCTAATAAATATAAAGCACTTGGCAGGGTTTCTGAAACACTGTGTAGTTATTCTAGGCAGCCCACGCCTCTCCCTCAGGAGATCTCAGGCACACCTCTCAGGACTGGGGCTCCTCCAGCAGGTAGGATGAGACTCCCTGGCCTCCTGAGTCACAGACCTGTTCAGGTCCAGCATGCCCATTCTCTACAGAGGTGCAGGAAGGTTAACTGTCACACTTACAAGCTGGGACTGACTTAATAGCTGGAGCGTAAGAGATTCTAGATATCTGCCTGTGTGATTTTTTTCTCTGACACCAAATGTTGTGTTTTTTCTGCATCAATTCTCCAACACCAAATGAGCATGCAACAATTCAATTCGATTCTGACACTAACTACCCAGAGTTAGCACAGACCCCACAGATCAAGGGCTAAGTCCCATAAGACTGCCTCCACTTAAGACACCAGTAAAAGTGGGGTGCCCAAGCTACTCACACTTCTGCCCAGGCAACTACAAAATCAGGGGTTGTCCACTCCCCACCTCCCATAGGTTTGATAATTTGCTAGAACAACCACAAAATTCAGGAAAGCATTTTACTTACAATTATTACCAATTTGTTACAAAAGATACCATCCAAGAACAGCCACATGGAAGAGATGCATAAAGCAAGGTGTGGGAGAAGAGGTGTGGGCCTTTTATGCCCTCTCACTCCAGCTTGTGGATGTGTTCACCAACCCAGAAGCTCCCCAAACCCCATTGTTTGTGAGTTTTATGAAGATTTCATTACATAGGCATAATTGATTAAATCATTGGCTATTGTGATTGAACTCAATCTCTAGTCCCTCCCCCCTCCCTGAAGGTAGGGGTGGGGGCTGAAGGCTGGAACCCTCTAACCACATGTTTGGTTTTTCTGGCAACAATTCTCACCAGCCCCCCCCCCCCCCGCCAAGCTGTCTAGGTTTCCCCAGAGAATCATCTGAACAGCAAACATAAAATAATAAATTCCCAGGGTTTTAGGACCTCTGTGTCAAAAATCAGAGACAAAGACCACATTTTTATTTTTTATTATAAAACACCTCCCCGCACCTCTATGGCTGCCCCTCATCTATAACACAGTCTACTCTCCACCATCAGTCATGGGAGCCAACTTCTCATCTTGCCACACACACAACAAATCCTTAAACCAAGCAATGATTTTAAAGCTCTGTTTGAAAGGTCTCTAGTTTCTTCAGAGTTCCAAATTGATGCACCCAAGAATCACCAGGCTAGGAGTTGAAATGTATTATTTCAGGGCAGCTGATGACTCACAAAGTTGGAACACCTACTCTCCAAACTAGGCATTGGGAGCATTATCAAGAGGGAATCAAAAGGCCCACGGTGATAAATATTATTATTAGCATCTATAAGCCTGGGTGCCCCAAAGCTCCTCCAAGCTATTCTGGGCCTCCAGGCATCTCCAGACAGAACAAAGTCCTAATTCCTCCCCCTTTTCCTCCTCCTCCTCCTGAAATGAAACATTTCCATTTGTCCAATTCAACAAACATTTATTTAGTGCCTCTGTGATTCAGACTTGCTCTAAGTTCTCTATAGGACACACACTTGAATGAGACCAGGTGCCCTTCCACCATGAGACTCACACAGAAGAGCTTGTCACCCCCCTGTATTCATTTCCTATGGCTGCCTCAAGAAAGTACCACAAACTGTGTGGCTTACAACAACACTTTTATGCTCTCACAGTTCTGGAGGCTTGGAGTTCAAAATCAAGGTGTCAGGAGGGCAATGCTCCGTCAGAAATCTCCAGAGGAAAACTCTTCTTTGCCTCCTCCAGCTTATGGTGGCTCCTGGTGTTCCTCGGCTTGTGGCCACATCACTCTAATCTCTGCCTCCATCTTCATGAGGCCTTCTTTGCTGTGTGTCTTCACACAGCCTTATATAAGGACACTAGTCATTGAATTTAGAGCCCACCCTAATCCACTATAACCTCATCTTAACTGATTATATCTGCAAAACTGTATTTCAAATAAGGTTACATTCTGAAGTTCCAGGTGGACAGGAATTTGCAGGAGACATTAATCAACCCAGTTCACCCTGTAAGAGGAAGTGCAGAGAAGCATGTAACTGATCCGTCCAAGATGGGAATGAGAAGCATGTGGGGAAACTTTAACAGAACCGAGACTATAGGTGTGAATCTGAAGGCTGGGGAGTGGGCCAGGAAGTAAGAACAGCATAAGCATGAGCACAGGTCAGGAGGGAGCAGCAGTAAGCCAAAGCAGGAAAAGATGACAATGGAATTGGGAAAGTACAAGAGACCAAATCCTGAAAGGCCTCATATTGTAATAAAGAGCTAGGCTTTCCCTTACAGACAATGGGGAATTTTTGCCCAACTTGCCCAGTGATGAACCTTTCTTCCCTTCATGATTCCATTCAGTTGTCTCTTTAGGGAAATCCTTCCCCAAGCTTCTCAAAAGCAGTTGGATCTGTCCTCCCAGGTTCCCAGAGCCCCTTATGCCATGCCCATTATCTCACAAATCATTCTGCATTATAATGACCTGCTTTCCAACCTGTCTCCCCATTACAGTGTGAGCTACTACACTGTTGAGGAAGAACCACATCTTGCCCATCTGTGTACATCCAGAGCTGAGCACAGGTTGGCACATAACACGTGTCAGGTACCTAACAAATGTTTAATTAGTTAGCTGAGTGGTCAGCCAGAGATTTTAATCAGGGAATCGACTTTCAAATAGTTGGAACCGATACTCATAACTCCTGGGTATCCAAAGGGGCTCCTATTAAAACAAGTTTCCTAAATAGGAATGTTCTTTACAGGTGACTTTTGCACAAAACAGAACTAAGCTTCAGAATCCCACCAGGAAAGCCTGCCTCTGTGACCCTCCTCACTCTGTGAGACTGGTATTTCACCACTCATTTTTTAATATTGAACCTCACTAAACTTGCACTGATCTGTGCCTTCTGGGTTGTTTTACTAGGCAGCTGCACTTGTTCATATCTACACAGATGGGTCTGTATTGGTCACACATGGAGGCAACGAACTGGGACAAGGTATTCACACCAAAATGCTTCAGGTAAGATCAATAAAATTAAGTCCTTAATCTCTCTCTTTTTAAAATTGTTTTTATACTTACTACTTTGTTTTTACATTTTTATTTAAATTGCAGTTAGAGGGGTGCCTGGGTGGCTCAGTTGGTTAAGCATCTGACTTCAGCTCAGGTCATGATCTCACCGTTTGTGAGTTCAAGCCCCACGGTGGGCTCTGTGCTGACAGCTCAGAGCCTGGAGCCTGCTTCAGATTCTGTGTGTCCCCCCCCCCTCTCTCTCTCTCTCTCTCTCTCTCTCTCTCTCTCTCTTTCTCTCTCTCTCTCTCTCTGCCCCTCCCCTGCTCTCACTCTATCTCTCTGTCTCAAAAATAAATATTAAAAAATTTTTAATTGTAGTTAACATAGTGTAGTATTATTTTCAGAAGTAGAATTTACTGATTCATCACTCACGTATAACACCCATGCTCAACATGACAGGTCTGTAATTCCCCCCCTTAATATCCATCACCCATTTAGCCCACCCACACTCTCCCCACTCCACTGACCCTCAGTTTCTTCTCTATCATAAAGAGTTCTTATAGTTTGTTTCCTTTTCTCCCTCTTTTTTTCCCATTCCCATACAATCATCTGTTTTGTTTCTTAAATTCCAAATATGAGTGAAATCATATAGTAAGTATTTGCCTTTCTCTGGCAGACTTATTTTACTTAGCATAATACATTATATATATATATATATATATATATATATATATATATATATATATACACACACACACACACACACACACACACACACACACACACGCACACACACACACACACACCACATCTCATTTATCCATTCATCAGTCAATGGACATTTGGGCTCTTTCCATAGTTTAGCTATTGTTGATAATACTGCTATAAACATTGGGGTGCATGCACCCCTTCAAATCTGTATTTTCATATCCTTTGGATAAATACCTAGTAGTGTAATTGCTGGATCACAAGGTAGTTCTATTTTTAACTGTTTGAGGAATCTCCATACTGTTTTCCAGAGTGGCTGCACCAGATCACATTCCCACCAACAGTGCAAGAGGGATCTGCATTCTCACCAACACTTGTTGTTTCTTGTGTTGTTAATTTTAGCCATCTGCCAGGTGTGAGGTGTTATCTCATCATGGTTTTGATTTGTGTTTCCCTGATGATGACTGATGTTGAGTATCTTTTCATGTGCCTGTTAGCCATCTGGATGTCTTCTTTGGTAAATGTCTATTCATGTCTTCATAGGATTATTTGTTTTTTGGGGGGTGTTGAGTTTCATAAGTTTTTATAAATTTTGGATACTAACCCTTTATCAGATATGTCAATTGCAAATATCTTCTCACATTCTGTAGGCTTTTAGTTTTGTGATTGTTTCCTTTGCTGTGCAGAAGCTTTTAATCTTGATGAAGTCCCAATACTTCATTTTTGCTTTTGTTTCCCTTGCCTCTGGAGACATGTCTATGGCCGAGGTCAGAGAGGTTGCTGCCTATGTTCTCCTCTAGGATTTTGATGGTTTCCTGTCTCACATTTAGGTCTTTCATCCACTTTGAATTTATTTTTGTATATGGTGTAAGAAAGTGGTCCATTTTCATTCTTCTTCATGTTGCTGTCCGGTTTCCCAACACTATTTGTTGAATAGACTATCTTTTTTTCCATTGGATATTCTTTCCTGCTATGGCAAAGATTAGTTGACCATACAGCTGTAGGTCCATTTCTGGGTTTTCTTTTCTGTTCCATTGATCTATGTGTCTGTTTTTGTCTTGGTACCATACTGCCTTGATGACTACAGCTTTGTAATACAGTTTAAAGTCTGGAATTGTGATTGCTCCAGCTTTGCTTTTCTCTTTCAGGATTGCTTTAGTTATTTGGGGCCTTTTGTAATTTCATACACATTTTAAGATTGTTTTTTCTAGCTCTCTGAAAATTTCTGGTGGTCTTTTGATAGGAATTGCCTTAAATGTGTAGATTGCTTTGGGTAGTTTAGACATTTTAACAATGTTCTTCCAGTCTATGAGCATGGAATGTTCTTCCATTTCTTTGTGTCTTCCTCACTTTCTTTCATAAGTATTCTATAGTTTTCAGAGTACAGATCTTTTACCTCTTTGGTTAGGTTTATTCTTAGGTATCTTATTGGTTTTGGTGCAGTTGTAAACAGGATTGATTCCTTGATTTCTTTTTCTACTGCTTTATTATTGGTGTTTAGAAATGCAACAGATTTCTGTACATTAGTTTTATATCCTGTGACTTTGCTGAATTCATGTATTAGTTCTAGCAGTTTTTTGGAGGAGCCTTTTGGGCTTTCCACATAGAGTATTGTGTTGTCTACAAATAGTGAAAGTCAGTTGTTAATCTCTCTATACATTGTTGACATGAATGACATGTGGCACTAATTTTAAGATATATGATGGCCCCTGTATTCAAGCCCTAAGATCTTGACTATTTGGTTGAAAAGCTTCGTACATATCAAATAGAATGTCTGAGGTGACAGAAATTCCATGCATGTACAAATAGACCTGGAGCTTGGCCAGGCTTTATGGGTGGGGATTGTTGTTAGTGAAAACATCACTAATGGGCCCCTGGAACACTGTGGTAGTTGTGCCATGCAGGCTTACTAGAGTAGGAATTTCTATTTTGAGGCCAGTATGTATGATTTTTAAAGTTTGGACGACAATATTAGGTTGCTAATACACTATTGGACAAGTAAGGACAAGTATTTCATCAACTGCCATCATGCAGTTGAGAAAAAAAAGAGAAATCAAGAGAAAAAAAGAATAATTCTTTAAATTAAATAAATAAATTGACAAACTTGTTAGATTATTATGTACACGTCCACAGCTTTTGACTATCCAGCCCCTTAGCTCCTTTGGAATACAGGACCTACATATATTCCTAAAGGCCTCCTCAATTCTGGTACCTTTTAGCCCCATCTCCCTCTTTTCCCCAACTGCACAGATATGGGTACACATGCCAGGTCTGGCTAGTCATGGTGCCTGAATCCACTGGCTGCAAGGATGGGTCCAGGAGGAAGGCATAAGACCGAGATCCTTTCCTGGGACTGATGTGTAGGTCCTGGTAGAAAAGAACTATCATTCTCTTGTGGTTGTTTAGTTCCTATGTTATAAGCCAGGGGTTGTCAGAGGCAATTTTCCTGTGCCATAGAGGAAGCATGTCTCTCTTGGAAATAACATAGCCATCATAGAAAGAAAAACAAATGTGTAAGGCAGCAAGAGGACGCTGATGAAACCATAAAGACTTAGATACAGATATACATGACACTGGCTCTGTCCTTCCCACTTATAGGACGCAATAAATTCCCTTTGGCTCTTCATCACCAACAAACAATAAAATTGTCCTTTTCTTTTTTATCATATTGCCTCTTTCTGGGGAAACTCACTTTTACAACAGCATTAATCTGTAGATTGGCACTTGAGGACAAGTACATAACTACAGACATCTGAAGAAAGTGGTTTTGTAAAAATTAAAAGAGCACAAAAAACAAAACAATGCTTTTTCTCTTTTTCATTTATTGTGATTAAATGCCTTTCTTTCCACATGTGTCTGCTAGAGGAACTGAAAGAAAAAGAACAGAAAATAGTGAACAGCAAATACTAGAGGAGTATGGCAGGAGGGAGCAAATAGAAGACAAGGGGGGAATCCAAAGCTAAAGTGGGGATGAGGGCTAGAGAGAAGACGGGCCCTCAGGGGCATTTCAAATTCATCTGATGCTGATATCAACAGATTTAAGACCAACCTTTGAACCAGTCAATCCAATCTCTCTCTTCCTGTCACTACAGCCATGTAAAACGAAAAAAAATAATAATAATAAAGTAAAATAAAAATAATTAATATCTAAGTGTAAGTATAAAGATGTTAAGGAAATACTTAACATCTAAACACTAATTTTGGATGGAAGAACCACTACATAATATTGCCAAGAAAACATTTTAAAAATCAGCATGAGGCAGGGCACCTCAGTGGCCCAGTCAATGGAGCATCTGACTCTTGATTTCAGCTCAGGTCATGATCCCAGGGTTATGGGATGAAGCCCTGTGTCAGGCTCCAGGTTGAGCACAGAGCCTGCTTAAGATTCTCTCTCTCTCTCCCTCTGACCCTATCCCCCACTCACTCTCTCTCTAAAATTAAATAAATAAATAACCAGCATAAGGCTCTACTAAAAAGTGGTTTTAACTTTTATTTTAGGTTTTCAAGCATATCATGGATGTAATAAGAATGGTAGTATTTTTTCATTTAAAACATGACTAAAATCTTCATAAAAGACTTTGCTGAACATGAAAATATTTCTTTTGCTCATAGGTGGCCAGCCGTGAATTAAAACTACCCATGTCTTATATGCACATCTGTGAAACAAGTACAGCCACGGTACCGAATACAATTGCTACAGCAGCTTCCATTGGTTCGGACATCAATGGCAAAGCCGTGCAGGTGCTTCCTGCTGTCTGTCTTTCCCTTCAGCACTTTTTCCATATTGCTGGTTTTCTTAGCTGGATACAGACATGAGCAGTTGGGTTCGGAGAAGTCATCTGTGTCACTAAACATAGGCTTAGGATAGCCAAAATATCAGGAGAGGGTGCCAGTTAGAGTAGGCTAAACTGAGGTGACAAATAGACACATAATACAGTGAGTCAAACACAACAAAAGTCCCTTTTTTTTTTTTTTACATACCTACCAGTCCAGAGAGAGAGCTTGGTCATTAGAGTACTCTGAGGTTAATGGCTGTTCTTCCACCTTCAACATGTGGCTTTCAAGGTTGCCCTGAGCATCATCATCAGGGAAAAAGCATGGAGATCAGACCTCGAAGTGATGCAAGTCACTGCCACTGATCATCCACTAGCAGAACCAGGCTCAGGCCACATCTAACTGCAGGGGAGGTTGGGGAAATGTGGAGTAGTGAATCACCACATGCCCAGCTACTATGGAAGAAGGGGAGAATAGATGTTGGTGAACAAGCAGTCTCTGTCCCTGGTAGACACAGAAAGAAGAAATCTGGGTATACCATGCAACTCAGCACTGGGCATGTTTCCTCTGATACAAACAAGTTCTTGCAGGCAGGTAAGCAGGCAGAACCCGAGCCAAGTAGATATGGTTCAATTAAAGTGTCTACATGAGTGGAATTCTACCACAGCACTCATGCTTATCCTTTATACTTGTTTTCTAACTGATTGGGTTTTTTTTCACTACTTCAGAATAGATTATGACTTCACTATTCCTTAATTAAGATATCTGATTGCATGTACTTTTGAAGTAATATCTATTTGTCATGTTTCTGTTATAAACGTTCCACTTTTTCCATTGGGATGTTGTGGGGAGGCATATTTTCAGAACACTGCACTTATGCTACCAAGAGGCATCACTTTCAAATCCATCTTATCTTTGTGGGGATACTTGTTAGGGGCTAAAATCCAGGGGCGCCTGGGTGGCACAGTCGGTTAAGCGTCCGACTTCAGCCAGGTCACGATCTCGCGGTCCGTGAGTTCGAGCCCCGCGTCGGGCTCTGGGCTGATGGCTCAGAGCCTGGAGCCTGTTTCCGATTCTGTGTCTCCCTCTCTCTCTGCCCCTCCCCCGTTCATGCTCTGTCTCTCTCTGTCCCAAAAATAAATAAACATTGAAAAAAAAAATTTAAAAAAAATAAAAATAAAAAAAATAAAATCCAGAGGCTCTTTCCCTCAGAACAAATGTGTGGGAAACTTCAAATTCATGAGACCCAATTTTGGATAGGATCAAACACAAGATAAGAATCACTCAGCGTGTACAGGAGTTGTCAACCCAAACTAAGATTAATCCATCTTCTAGAGTTTTAGGTTTAGTTAAGGATCAGAAACTTTGCAGATCTAGATTATTATAAAGACAAATTTAGTTATTTTCTCACTTCACACCCAAAGCCAAGGCCTTCACTGCAGTAGTTTGATGGTGGATGGATGAACATATGGAAAGATGGACAGAGAGTTGAATAATATTTCAGATCCAGAGGGATATTGGCATGTTATTGGTGCAGATAGGAAAGCACAGAGTAGAATGAAAATAAGATGTTTTGTTCCTTTTATTTTAATGGCTGGAAAATACAAAAGAAGATGTAAGTCAAAAATGTAGAAAAAGAGAAGGAATTAAGAACACAAAACAAATATTCTTAGAAAGAGGACCTGAAAGTAGAAATTCAGCTGAGCCCATATTTTCACAGGAAGTGAACCAGGGAAGTTTTTTAAAAACCTGCAATAACTGATACCCTCCTCAAGGTCAGAGACTGTGTTGTTATTGTCTCTGTGTTCCCAATGTATCAGTATCAAGCGCTCCATAAACATTCACTGACCTAATCAATTATCGATTACTATTCTTCCACACAAATCCTAACCATTGGGCTCTTCTCTAATGAGAATGCACTTCTTTACCCTTTCAAGAATGCATGTCAGATCCTTCTGAAACGCCTTGAGCCCATCATTAAGAAAAATCCAGGAGGTACATGGGAGGACTGGGTAAGTGTTCCACTCTGTTTGTTACTACAAATGAGAAAGCAGTCCTAACCAGTGCTGAGAGCATCGTGGCAGTGTACAACTGCACCACACAGAGTTTTTCTGGGCGTGGATTTCTGCAAAAGGGCAGGATCGTAAAAGGTTGAGACAGCTGCTCCATGCTGTATACCAGGTATGTGTGAGAGAGCACACAGGGAACAGCATCACTGAGGGGAGGAATGGAAATACATGAAGAATACCCAGCAGGCCTTACCCACTCTGCTTAAATAAGAAAAGGAAAAGACCAAGCCTTCCTAAGCCACCAAAAAAAGAAAAAGGTGTTTTAAATGGGAAGGAAGAAAACTAAAAGGCCTAATTGCTATTAAACATGTCTCAAAGGAAATGACTCAACTAATCCAACTTTACAACAGCCTTTCTCTTATCTCATCGGAACACTTATCCCACACTTACACGCACACTTAACTAAAGTTCTAACATTTAGAACTTTATCCCAAAATACTTTGGGAACTAAGCCCCTACATCATGGATGTGTGGCAGGATTCTGCCTTATTTAGTTCAGACGTTTCAACTCAATCAGAAGGAAATTGTTAATGTACCAGCTAAGGGGAAAAAAAAATATTACAATGTGTTCCTTTACTGGTAACAAAACACCAGCAACAATTACCAGATGTCAATTTTGATATAGGGAATACCTTCATTTTCACCTATCAGATGATGTATTTATTTTATTCTGACTAAATATGCCCATTCTTCAGATAGAAGCTGCTTTTGAACAAAGAATCAGTCTTTCAGCCACTGGATACTTCAGGTAAAAATTACAATAATGTCTGGACTTAGCTGAGAAAATATAAGGTAACTCAATTGTTCTGGGCCTTAGTTCCCTTATTTGTAAAGTAAGTTTTTATTATGTGATCATTGAGGTCCCTTCTCAGTCTAAAACTGATTTTATGTAAGCCTTTGAACTATATCCAAAGAAATATTAAATAATAAAAATACCCTTATTGGGTAAAAAACATTTTTTAGGGGCACCTGGGTGGCTCAGTTGGTTGAGTGTCTGACTTTGGCTCAGGTCATGATCTGGTGGTCTATGAGTTCGAACCCTGCATCAGGCTCTGTGCTGACAGCTGCGAGCCTGGACCCTGCTTCGGATTCTGTCTCCCTCTCTCTCTAACCCTCCCCCACTTGCGCTCTTGTGTGTGTGTGCTCTCTCTCTTCCTCTCAAAAATAAATAAATATCTAAAATTTTTTTTTTAATTTTTTAACAAGACTTAGAACATCTAATCATTATTTACTATTCACTGTTGGATAGTAAAAAAATATCATTGGAAATAACTTCCAACTCAATTTTATAAACCGTCCCTCCTTTACCATAAAAGCTTTCTGTTTGAAGCTCCTCTCTTTGTACAGTGTCTGTCAGTGGAAGGCCCTCAGTCAATTCATGTTAATTGAGTGAAACACAAAGAGGAGAACTGATGGTCAAATTCAGGAAGTGTATGACAGCAGTTTTACAATGTAGTGAAACAAACCACCAAACTAAACACACACATGCACAGAGACAGAGAACAGTCAAGAAATTTCTCATGAAAAAGGAAGGAAGGAGGCAGGTAATAGCCCAGCCCAGTGCCCTGCACATGAGTTCTAAATTTCTGAGTTCCGTTACCCAAGAAGAGAGCAAGTCAGCCATCTAGCTGGGTACATCTTCCATTGTACATTAATGCATTGAATCACATGCCCTTTTTTACCAGCTCTGAATTACCATCAATTCCCCAGTGAGTTTGGTTACCATAGTCTAGAGGGTTCCTTTGGGAATGCTGATAAAATCAGTTGAGGTTCTCAATCCACAGAGCTAAAAGCTCAAACTCTACACTGTGAATACAGACACACTGGGAGGTCGGACCAAAACAGCCTGTTGGATTCTTTCTTTTTGGCTTCTTAACTGAAACACAAAGGGTATCCTTTTTAAATGGAGGCACATGACAGTGCTGCTATAATTAGCTAGGTTGCAAATACAAGTAGCAGTTTAAATGAGTTTAAAAAGCAGTTGAGTGGTACCTGAGTGGTTCAGCCAGTTAAGTGTCCGACTCTTGATTTTGGCTCAGATTGTGATCTCACAGTTTCTGGGATCAAGCCCTGTGTTGGGCTCTGCGCTGACAGCACAGAACCTGCTTGGAATTCTCTCTCTGCCCCTTCCCTGCTTGTGCTCTCTCTCTTTCTCTCAAAATAAATAAATAAACTTAAAAAAAAAAACCTTAAAAAGCAGTTGAAGTATCAGTAAGATGAAATGCTATCATAAAACTTTAATAACTTTTTTGTTTTGGTTTGGTTTTTTGTTTTGTTTTGTTTTCATTTGGAAAGTACTTTAAATTCGTAGAAGAGTTGCAAATATAGTAGAAGGAATACTATATATCCTTTCTATCCAGAAGTACCTACTGTAATTTGTCACATTTGCTTTATCATTTCCCCCCTCCCTCTCTCTCTTTGTATATTGTTATTTCTGATCCATTTGAGAGCAAGTTGCATACACTGTGACCCTTTGCGTCTAAATACTTGAGTGTAGACTCTGCACATTCTTTCTCCACTGCTGTGGCCCCTCTGGTTCCTTCTCGTCAGACATGCAGTCATTGAGCTGGACACTTTAAAACTTAAATAACTTTTAAAATGAGTCAACATTGTTTGCAACCTCACTGCTATCACCACCCCAAGCTGGTGGGCTTTATTTCTTCCATCAGGGGATACAAGGCCGACATGGACTGGGAGAAGGGAGAAGGAGACCCTTTTCCATACTATGTCTATGGAGCAGCCTGTTCTGAGGTTGAAATTGACTGCCTGACAGGCGCTCACAAGGTAAACCAAATATAACTTTCCTCTTGGCAAATTAAACCAACAACAACAACAACAAAATTATGTTGCACATTAAATAGCCCAATTTCATTATGTACTACTTGTACAATAAGAACAGTATTTTTTTTTTTCAATTCCTTGGGAATATCTAGAGATCCAGGCTTATTCTGAATTTTCACTTAAAAAGAAGTAGTCAAGGGGCGCCTGGGTGGCGCAGTCGGTTAAGCGTCCGACTTCAGCCAGGTCACGATCTCGCGGTCCGTGAGTTCGAGCCCCGCGTCAGGCTCTGGGCTGATGGCTCAGAGCCTGGAGCCTGTTTCCGATTCTGTGTCTCCCTCTCTCTCTCTGCCCCTCCCCCGTTCATGCTCTGTCTCTCTCTGTCCCAAAAATAAATAAACGTTGAAAAAAAAAAAAAAAAAAGAAGTAGTCAAAAGGAATTGCTCCTAACAGTGGTTGGTAGTTGCCAGAGGTGGGGGGTGGGGGTGGGGGGATGAAGAGAGAAAAGGGGGTCAAAAGGCACAAACTTCCAGTTATAAAAGAATTAAGTCATGGGGAATAAGTACAAAATGGTAACTATAGTTAATAATACTGTATTGCATATTTGAAAGTTGCTTAGAGACTAGATCTTCAAAGTCCTCATCACAAGAAAATAAAATTTAACTATGTATGGTGGTAGAAGTTAACTAGACTTATTGTGATGGTCATTTTGATATATATACAAATATCAAATCATATTGTATACCTGAAACTAATATAATGTTGTATGTCAATTATACCTCAATAAAAAATTAATTTAATTAAAAAAAATTTTAAAGCAGTAGTCAAAAGCAGAATTGTTCATGACAGCCTAAAGTGCATTGTTTTTTATTCCATTTCATACAACAAAGTTGCTTTTCAAAGTTTTTCTAAAAAAACTGGAGGTAAGATTCTGTTCCTAAAGGTCAATTTATCTAATCTGAAGGAATAGGTAATTTAATAAATTGTCTTCAGTAAATATTTGAGAGCAGATAGCACTGTGATGTTTCTCTAAAGTCAGTTATCCCAAAGGTACTACTGTCCCTAACAAAAAAGATTGGGGGGGCTGGGGAGAGGAGGTCTGAAAATAATTGTTGTGCTTGCTACTTAATTGAGCGTCCTTCTGGAATCAGGGAGTCACATGTAATCAAAAGTTAACAACTTCCACCATAAAAGGTAAACCTATGAATATACCCCAGGTATCATTCTCGGAATAGAGAGATTACAGAAACCTTAAAGAGAATATAGTATATCCAAAGTATGGAAATTGCTAGGAAATCTACAGAATGGACCAATGACACATCTAAATTCCATACACAGATTATTCCAACATCATCTTGAACCATTTTACCTGAAACTAGAAATGGTCAGTTTATGTAAAATAAGAAGGAAATTGGAAATATTGACTTGCAAATCTTATCAAAATGCCTTTTATTGCCCCATTGCTGGTAAATTTGTCCATCACTTAGATTTTATATAAATTATACAGAAAAGACGGTAAATGAAGGGATGTCTGGAGAGCACTTGCCTTCACATTCCACTCAGGTTCCTCCTTAGGATACATTATGTCCCCATTTTCATTCTAGATCATTGTGAGGAAGTAAACTCATGAAATCAGGATCATAGATTGCTTATATAATTATTTTAAAAGTATATTTCCTAATGTCTTTCACATAATGGCACGCATAGATAATGATAATATTTGCCAGCACACTTTTGCAAACAAGGAAACCATGGTGGCAGGTGACCAACCTGAAAATCCTGGTCCAGACCCCTGCAAAAGTCCAAGTGTCAGTGTCTTGACATACCTGTAACCCATTCAAGACTCCATACTCAGAGAAAAGCTGTTTTTAGAAATCAACTAGTTTAGAAATCAACCAGATTTGTTGCTAGCAAATAAAAATATAGGATGCGTGATTAAACAACAAATAAATTTCTGGTACAAATATGTTCAATGCAGAGTTGGGGACATACCTATTTTATCTGGCAATTCTATCAGAGGGCTTTGGTATAAATCCCTAAAGAAAGAAATCTCATGGGGGTCTTCCAGAATTTATGGAACCAGAACAGTGAAAATTTGGTTGTCCCTATGGCTTCCTTATTACTGGTTAAGGTCCAGTCATTTTGGTATTACTTCAGTCCCTTAAAATAGCTTATTCCTTGAAGAGGCAAAATTTCTTTTAATTAAAGGGAAATCAGAGAAATTAAATGACAGGCCTACTGCTGCCAGTTATTTGTGGTTGCTGAATCCAAACACCTGCCAGTCACAGGCCCACCCTGAGGTGTGTCCAACGTCCTGCCCTAGCTGTTGAGAATGAACATAGGAGGTTGTCTGAGAGGTCAACATTTGAGTCAAAAGAGAGCTGCTGATCCAAAAAGCTAGATAGAAGGTAGCCCAGCTAGTGTGCCTCAACAGAGAATGATGATATTGTCAGAACAAGCATGGGATGTGAGGGCAGAAGGAAAGCCCAAAGGTATTCCTGGATAGACCACAGGCACCTAGGGGTTTTCTGTGACTCCTTAACAACCTATCTACACATGCTTGTTCCAAAACATAAGGGCCAAATCATTGTGATGTTTCTCATCCAATTCTCATCCGTTCTTATCCAACGAAGTGGATAAGCAAAGTCAAAGATATTCTCAACATTTTCCCATAATATGGTCCAATATCTTTCAAATCTCTAATTTCAAACATGCCACTATGGCTACATGATTTCTTCAGTAAAATGGCAATCATCTACATCAGGGCACCTGGGTGGCTCAATCAGTTAAGCATCTGACTCTTGATTTCAGCTCAGGTCATCATCTCACTGTGAGTTCAAGCCCTGGGTTGGGCTCTGCACTGATCACATGGAGTCTTCTTGGGATTCTGTCTCCCCCTCTCTCTCTGTCTCTCAAAAATAAACTTTAAAAAAAAACTATCTACATCAAATCATCATGAGGACTAGATGAGCTCATGAATTGTATAAGGACAACAAATCCAGGGGCGCCTGGGTGGCTCAGTCGGTTGAGCGTCCGACTTCAGCTCAGATTATGATCTTGCGGTCTGTGAGTTCGAGCCCCGCATCAGGCTCTGTGCTGACAGCTCAGAGCCTGGAGCCTATTTCAGATTCTGTGTCTCCCTCTCTCTCTCTGCCCCTCCCCCACTCATGCTCTGTCTCTCTCTGTGTCAAAAATAAATAAACATTAAAAAAAAAAAAAGAACAACAAATCCAGGTTTAGAATCAGAAGAACAACCAGGCTCAATTATTTACTAAGTGACACTCAAAGGCACTAACATACCATGGACTTTGGAGTCACTTAAGAGAGGTCAAAATCAGGGGTGCCTGGGTGGCTCAGTCGGTTAAGCGTCCAACTTCAGCTCAGGTCACGATCTCACAGTCCGTGAGTTCGAGCCCTTTGTCGGGCTCTGTGCTGACCACTCAGAGCCTGGAGCCTGCTTGGGATTCTGTGTCTCCCTCTCTCTCTGCCCCTCCCCTGCTCATGCTCTGTCTCTCTTGGTCTCAAAAATAAATAAAAACATTTAAAAAAATTAAAGAAAGAAGTTTGACATAAAAAAAAGAGAAGTCAAAATAGAAAGATCTTCTGGGGTCATTGCCAGTCGTAGCACTAAAATTGAAGAATTTGGCAGATTTCTTACCACCTCTAATATTAATGAGGTTCAGTGCAGTGTTAATTAACCAATAGGAGTTCTGGATACCATTTAAATAAACCTTCATATAATATTTTTAAGTTGTTATGATGAGGTAATTTTAATTTTTGGCAGAAAATCAGAACGGACATCATCATGGATGCATGTTGCAGCCTAAATCCTGCCATTGATATTGGGCAGGTAGGTACTGGCCCACTTAGATAACTGCCACTTCCTGAAAGCCACTGTGGGATAGGTAAAGGCCTTCTAAGAAACATACAGTATCACAGAGCTTGACATTTTCCCCTTTCAGGTTGAAGGTTCCTTTATTCAGGGAATGGGCCTTTATACCACTGAAGAGCTAAAATATTCCCCAGAAGGTGTTCTGTACTCTCGAGGCCCAGATGAATATAAAATTCCAACCATCACTGACGTCCCAGAGGAGTTCAATGTCTCCTTGTTGCCATCATCACAAACCCCATTAACCATCTATTCATCCAAGGTAAGCACCCAAACCTACTACTATGCAATGCAGGTAGCATGGTAAATGAAGCAGGTGGAAAAAATAAAGAATACATGTCAACCTGTATCAGAACCAAATCATAATAGACTGTTAGAATTTGGAGGTGAATCACCTAGAGAAAAGTGAGATTCAGAGAGGATAAATGATCTCTGTCCAATGGCCATCCTTGGCTAGAGATTTTATTTATTAATATCCTCTTTCACTGGAAACTCTAAATTTCCAGGTGAAAAGCTCTGATTTGATGGAATATTTTCACTTAAGAAACTTAAGACTACTCAAGCAACAACAGATGTTGGCGAGGATACAGAGAAAGAGGATCTCTTTTGCATTGTTGGTGGGAATTCAAGGTGGTGCAGCCACTCTGGAAAACAGTATGAAGGTTCCTCAAAAAACTAAAAATAGAACTACCCTATGACCGAGCAATTGCACTAGTAGGCATTTATCCAAGGGATACAGGTGTGCTATTTTGAAGGGACACATGCACCCCCATGTTTATAGCAGCAGTATCAACAATAGCCAAAGTATGGAAAGAGCCCAAATGTCCATCGATGGATGAATGGATAAAGAAAATGTGGTATATATATATATATATATATATATATATATATATATATACACAGTGGAGTATTACTCGGCAATCAAAAAGAATGAAATCTTGCCATTTGCAACTACATGATTGGAAATGGAGGTATTATGCTAAGTGAAATTAGTCAGAGAAAGACAAAAATCATATGACTTCACTCATATGAGGACTTTAAGAGACAAAACAGATGAGCATAAGGGAAGGGAAACAAAAATAATATAAAAACAGGGAGGAGGACAAAACAGAAGAGACTCAAAAATATGGAGAACAAACTGAGGGTTACAGGAGGGGTTGTGGGAGGGGGGGATGGGCTAAATGGGTAAGGGGCACTAGGGAATCTACTCTTGAAATATTGTTGTACTATATGCTAACTAATTTGGATGTAAATTTTAAAAAAAATAAAAAATAAAACAACTTAAAAAGAAAAGCAACCTCAACTGAAAAAAAAAAAAAAAAAGAAAAGAAACTTAACTAAAATCTTAGGAAGCATGGCAGCATGGGAAGAATCCTGGACTGAGGTCTCAGTGGAGGACCTCAGTGGAGCTGAGTTTTCACCCCAGCCTCACCAGCTCCCTATGATGGTAGACAAATCACTCCCCTCTTGGGAGCTCAGGGTCCTCATCCATACGCAGAAATGGATATAGGACAGTGGTTTCAAATGGTCCCCAGGATACATTTGACAATGTCTGGAGATGGACCAGCATCTGGAGGGAGGAGATGTCACTGCTCTGGGTAGAGAGGCCAGAGATGCCGCTAAACAGCCTTCAATGTACAAGACAGCCCCCACAACAAAGAATTATCTGGCCCAAAATGTCAATAGTGTCAGGAACCAAAGACACGAACCCTTAGTAACTGCTAAAGTCGTGGAACTGCAAATCAAAATAAAGGTCAGCATTTATTTGCACTGCTGTATGCAGATTACATGAAAATCATCTCAGAGTAGAAATTTCCTTTAGGTTTGAGATGTATTGTCAAAATTTTCTTTCAGGGTGTCTGGGTGGCTCAGTCTATTGAGCTACTGACTTCGGCTCAGGTCATGATCTAACAGTTCAGTTTGTGAGTTCGAGCCCTCCGCTGGGCTCTATGTTAACAGCTCAGAGTCTAGAGCCTGGTTTGGATTCTGTGTCTCCCTCTCTCTGACCCTCCCCAACTCACACTCTGTCTCTCTCTCTCTTTCTCTCTCTCAAAAATAAACATTAAAAAAAATTTTTTTTAATTTTCTTTCAAGTCTTTCAGGAAACTTCTTACTAGGGGTGACAAATTGATATAAGAGAAAACAAGTCCACATATATTTGCTGGAATTTTATCATTTCCAAACTGGAGCCCACTTTCATCCCAGGAACTTCCTCTAGTGTGTGATGATGACACTTGGGTGGGGGGGTGCATGTTTGAAACGAAGGGCAATCAGCAGCACCCTTGGATTCTCATCAGGCGGGAAATCACTCAAAGAGGAAAAGGCAAAAGGAAGCTCAGAGCCCACAGAGAGCAGCTTTCAGATCCTAAGAGCAATAGGACAGGCAGGACGCTTGAGTCCTGTGGTTGTGGCCAGCCACTCTTACACAGACCCTCAGGAAAATCAGGGGTTTACAGGGGCCCTATGGAAGGTGCTGTGTAATAACAGGGACCTACCAAGTACCGCTGGGTGCTTTTGCACTTGTGGAACTTCACAGCACCCTGTAAGGTAGATACCATTGCCTGAATTTCACCAATAAAGAAACAGAGGCTGGAGAGAGAATCTCACCCATAAAAACAGAGGGAGTAAGGGCCAGGATTCAAACTTAATATCTAGGGCTGCAGAGTGGAGGGCCACTGACTGAATCTAGGCTGCAGATGTGTTTTCTGTGACCTACAGTGCTTTTAAGTATCAGGGAATTGTACATTAAAATAAGAACATCTAAATTCTCTTGAAAAATTGGATGATCTGGTTATTTTGGCTACATTCTTAGAAGGCATAAATTAGCTAGAACTGAAAAACAGCTGCCCCTTGAGACAGGACCTGGGGGTATCTCTACTTCACCATGATTCCCGCTTTTCCTTACTGTCCTTCAACTACTCACAGTACCCCCTTTATATTACCTGACTATTCCTTGTGGATGATAGGCTTTCAACCCTTTATCTGGTACCAAAGTCTATACTCATTCTTATAGAGTACCCTACCCTCCCTGATTCTGCAGACATAATGAGGCATTTTTTCTCTCTGCTCATGACATTGGCTATTTATTGTGCTTCCCTAAATAGGGTAACCTCCCCCTTTCCTGTAGACACATTCCTTTCCTATAGAACAAATATTCAACCTAGACAGTATTACAGATATGGGAAGCTCAGGTGATACTGGGATTTTTAAGAGTATTCAAGTTTCATTCAGTCAATAAATCAGTGAACAAACATTTATTGAGAATTATTGTGAGTGAGACACTTGCTCAGAGTTGGGGACACAATGGAGAATAAAGATCTGGGCCCTGAAATATAGTTTGTAATCTACTATAGAAGGTTCTAAAACAAATGTGCTTTCTTGCAGGGCCTGGGGGAGTCCGGGATGTTCTTGGGGTCATCTGTGTTCTTTGCCATCACTGATGCTGTGGCTGCAGCATGCAAAGAAAGAGACATAGTCGAGGACTTCATAGTGAAGAGTCCAGCAACCCCGGAACAAGTTCGAATGGCCTGTGCAGATCGGTTCACAGAGATGGTAAGGAATTATTGTTTACTTTCCTAAAAGGTGATTTTTCTATCTCTTGCTTCTTAGACCAGTAAGGTAAAAATTCATAACCTAATCTGATCAAATTATAAGGTCAAATTATAAAATATAAGATGATAGGGGCACCTCGGGTGGCTCAGTAGGTTGGGCATCCCACTTCGTCTCAGGTCATGATCTCACTGCTCATGAGTTCGAGCCTCATGTCGGGCTCTATGCTGACACCTCAGAGCCTGAAGCCTGCTTCAGATTCTGTCTCTGTCTCTCTGCCCTACCCCTATTCGTGCTCTGTCTCTCTCTCTCTGTCTCTCTCTCAAATATAAATAAAAAACATTTAAAAATTTTTAAATAAAATATAAGATGATAAAAAGAAATCACACAAATACCTTTTGTATATATAGCAACTTAAAAATTTTAAAAAGCACATCCCTATCTGTTATTTAATTTGATTTTCTCAGCAATCCTGAAGTAGAGTAATTTATCATGCTTTAGAAACTAATAGCTGGGCACCAGATGGCTCAGTTGGTTAAGCATCAGACTCTTGATTTTGGCTTAGGTCATAATCTCATGCTTCATGGGATTGAGCCCCACATCAGGCTCTGCACTGACAGCATGGAGCCTTCTTGGGATTCTCTCTCTCCCTCTCTCTCTGCTTCTTCCCTGCTCTCTCTCTCTGTCTCAAAAATAAAATAAATATAAGAAAAGAATTATTAAAAAAAGAAAACAAAACAAAAACTAATAGCTAAATATTAAACAACTAATGATTTCATCAAGCTGTTATATTTCCTCCCTCTATCCTATCTAATCTATCCTACTCTTCAAGAAAACTAAACATAAAAATAAGCCATGTGTCATGTAGCTATATTTGATAACACACTCTCCATGCTCCCTATACAAACACAGGGTACACAGTCTAGCTTTCATTTAGAAATAACATGATCTTGGAGCATCTGAGTGCCAACTGAGTGGCTCAGTTGGTTAAGCATCTAACTCTTGATTTCAGCTCAGGTCATGATCTCACAGTTTGTGAGATCAAGTCCCACATCCATGCTGGCAGCACAGAGCCTACTTGAGATTCTCTCTCTCTCTCTCTCTCTCTCTCTCTCTCTCTCTCTCTCTCAATAAATAAATAAATAAATAAATAAATAAACAAACATTAAAAGAAAATGAAAAGAAATAACAGCGGCTGCTTTTCCACTTCATTCCATTTTATAACAATGCCACCCAGCCCAGGAGAGGGAAGACTGGGGAGCTACCTGTAGATGCAGCCTGCTGCAAGGCCAGCCTGCTGAATGTTGCAGCTACACAACCCCAGTGAGGTCACTGAGTCCACCTTGCCCATCTCCTCATATCATCCTAATATAAATAGTAATAGTAGTTGGCATTGATTGGGCACCATACTAAATATTTCACATTAGTGAAATATCTCATTAGTCAAACTCTATCAGGTAACTAGTATTATTTTTTTCATTTTACTATTGAGGAAACTGAGGTATGGTCATTTGCCCAAGGTCAAGATTCAAACCCAGACTGTCTTGCTCCAGCATAATATATTGCTTCTTAGAGAGAAAAGAACTGATTCTCTACCTCTTAAAAGAAATTTGTATTTTTTCATATCTATATTAAAGGAAGCCCAAGGGCACCTGGGTGGCTCAGTCAGTTGGGCGTCGGACTTTGGCTCAGGTCATGATCTCGCGGTTCCTGAGTTTGAGCCCCACATCGGGCTCTGTGCTGACAGCTCAGGGCTTAGAGCCTGCTTCCAATTCTGTGTCTCCACCTCTCTCTGCCTCTCCCCTGCCCCCCCCCACTCTCTCTCTCTCTCTCAAAAATAAATAAAAACATTAAAAGATATATTTTTTTAAAAAAAGAAGCTCAAATACTTAACTGACCTCTTCAAAATATCCAGCCATAGAGTGAAAGAATAACATGACCCAGGACTTGGGAATATTGCTTAAAAATAAGTGTCATAGGCATGTTTGGCTGGCTCAGTCAGAAGAGCATGCAACTCTTGATCCTGGGGTCATGAGTTCAAGCCCTATATTGGGTGTAGAGATTAAACAATACAACTTAAAAGAAAAATACAGGTGTCATAATTACTCATTTCCTTCCCCTAAATGATCTATTCCTCTTCCGATCCCCAAGGCTGACTCAACATTTCTCCTATTCCAATAATACCCACCACACTGTATTTCCCTCCAAGTGTCCCAGCAACAGCTCTGCCCCTCAGGCTGCCCCTCACCTGACTGCACTATCCACAGAAGGGTTGTAGTCACCCACCTCTGGCCAGTCCTGCTCAGAGGGGCAGGGCCAGGAAACCAGCACTCCTCCACTGCTAGGAACACCTTCTCTGGGTGGATTTGGAACTGGAGGGTCAAGTCCGCCCCTCCGGACAACAGCAGTGGTCACGTGGTAACTGCAGAATCACGTGATCTCGACACCAATCGGTCCACTTTCAACCTTTCAAAAAAATGTTCTCAATCGTATTTTACAGTAATAAATATCCTTTCCCAAAATGGGCCATTTTAGTGAAACTAAAAATTCGGAGCAGCAATTCTACTCTTCCTTTCTTGCCCACGTTTAACATTTTTCTGTCTTCAAAATGGCCTGGCTCCCAGAAAATGAATTCCTTCATTTCCAAGACTTTAGGCCATTTTTAATAGTTGGGTTATCTGGCAAAGTCACTCTGTTATATGCAATGGTAAAGAAGTGAATGACTCTGATTTCATTCACCATTTGGGACCCCACCTGCCAGCTACCTTGTTCATGGCATGAGTCCAGGTTTTTCTCCCAAGTCTGATTTTTTTGGTAACAGTAATTTAATATATATATTCGTGGATATAAATCATCGAATAATTTGTATACCCATCAATCAAATGCTCAGGGTCAATGTGAGAGTAACCTCACATTTTCTAAAATACATCTAAATAGCACCACATGTTATAATCTATGTTTGATATTATAAACTTCACTTTTAAACATGTATTATTTTTTATCTTCACAAAAGTAACACATGTCCATTATGGAAAAATAAGAAAATGTTGAAAGTATAAGATCAAAGTTAAAATCAGCCATATAACCCCACTAATCAGAAATAACCATAAAAGTTTGGTATTTATATATACATACACACACACTTATAACCATCTTTTAATTTGTAATTATTTGTATGTACAATTTACCTTGTTTACATACTTATTTTCCAAAATTGAGATATCCCTGACATTAATATTTGAAAAGGTTTGAACCGTATAATTGAGAGTGACTTCATAATGAGTGACTTCAAATTCTTGACAAGACTTCAGGGATTCAAGAGTTTCTCTGTTCAGGGCACCTGGGTGGCTCAGTCAGTTAAGCGTCCAACTCTTGATTTCGGCTCAGATCATGATCTAATAGGTTCTGAGCTCCAGCTGATAGCTGATTGAGCCCTGGGACAAGGTCTATGCTGGCAACATGGAGCCTGCTTGGTATTCTCTCTCTCCCTCTCTCTGCCCCTCCCCCGCTCACACTGTCTCTGTCTCCCTTAAAATAAATAAATAAATAAAACTTAAAAAAAAAAAAAAACTTTCTCCATTCTCACCTCCAGACCCCCTCCCTTCAGCTGTACACCAACAGAAAAAGAATAACCAAAAGCCAGCCTTGAGTGGGGCCTCCCAAGGGAAGCAGAGAGGAGGAAGTCCTGACTCTTGGTGTAACAAAGAGGACCAGAAACACATAAAATATAGATTCATCTGCTACTTCCTGTCACAGGAAATGGCAATACTCCTCTATCTGTATTGTACCACAAAGCAGGTACCAGACATTGTTCTGGGTGCTGGGAATTCAGAAGTGAATGAAACAGAGGGCAGTCTCTACATTTGTGGAGCTTACTTGCTAGAGACCCTAAGTCCACCTCACATCTCTCCAGCCTAGGTCAAAGCAGCTTCATTGCTGACTTCACAGTACCCAGTGCAGCCAAAAATTTGTGTTGTGACAAATATGATCATGTCACTCTAGCATATACACAGGTAAAAAGGTTCCCATTGCTCTTAGGATAAAGATATAACTTTTTAACTTGCCCCGCCAAGCCTACAAACCTGCAAATTCCCCTATGGCTGGCCTCACCCACTTCTCCAGCTATGCATGGCACCCTACCCTGCCTTCTCTCTCCACACTTGCCATCTTCTGTCTGTTCCTCATATCAAGGACAGAGGCTTCCACCAAGCTCTCTCCTCTGCTTGAAACCATCTTCTTCCTTTTCCTCACCTGGCTAATCTCTACTTACCTTTCATATTTTAATCAAATTCAAGAAATTAATTCAATACTTTCCTTTTTGCATATTTTGAGGTACCAGGAGTATACTGGTGAATGAGATTCACTGGTATCTGCTCTCAAGTTGTTTATGGTGTAGCAGGGGAGGAGGACAAACAACTACTGTGAATTATAAGTACTTAGCTGACTCTGGATGATGCCTGTTCATCAATAGAACAAAACTTTACTAATTTAGCCTTAACCTTTTCTTAAAGTCAAAGAGGTCAAATTTGGCCCCAGCTCTGATCATTCATCATGCAATCATTCATTCATTTTTCCATGCACCAGACACTGCTGGGGAACTAAAGAAACAGTGAGCCAGTCAATCTCTGCCCACATGGAGCTCACATTCACACCATACAATCTCAGGTGGTGAGAAATACTCTGAAGCAAAATAGAAAAATAGGGGGCTATAATGTGATGGAAAGATTATTTTAGATTATTTTTGATGGTCTATTGGAGAAATTTTCTCTAGGACATTGACCTTTGAGCTGAGGAAGGAGCAAGCATAAAGCTGGTAATGGTATGTTCCAGACAGAGAATAGTTAGTGCAAAGGCCCTGTGGCAGTTTCATTAGATTCAAAGTAAAATGGGACCAAGTAGCCCTCAAAAATGGCCTTACCGGGGCGCCTGGGTGGCTCAGTCGGTTAAGCGGCCGACTTCGGCTCAAGTCATGATCTCGTGGTCCGTGAGCTCGAGCCCCGCAT